GAGTTGCCATGGGGAATCACTGCCGTCAAGCTGGGGGCTTGCATTGATCGCGGTCGCATGATGCTGCATGGCCAATGGCCACATCTTCAAAGGAAGTCCTGATTGCAACAAGTTGCTCCGGGCACCTTCCAACATCTGACGAACTTCGCGCTCAGCAAAAGACTTTGATGAATCTACGTATTCAATGGAAGTTTGGTGTCTGTAACCCAAATCCTTGATGGCCCTGATCAATTCTGGGGAATTGTCAGTGTACACAACTTGAACATCATCCTTTGATCCAATGAAGTGATTCAAACCATCAACACAGCTTTGTGAGTCCTTGGACTGGCTAGGGTAGACATACCGATATTGGGTGTGCAGATCTTTCAACACCAACGCAACTTGCTCCCCCCTGAAACCCTCTTCTACATTTTTCTTAATGATGACGTGATCCCCAATGATGTGGTCACCAAACACTTCAGTTTCGATTCTCTTCTGACCACCCTTCTTTCGTGCCTGAGGTGCCATCATCCTTGCTCGTTGGCAGGTTCTGCAAAAGGGGTTCTTGGGGAAATGCGTGTACTGATGTTGGGTACTTGCAGCTTCAGCCAACAGATCCTCAGTCTTGCGGCTTCGGATGTACTCCTGCTGAGCGTCATCCTCCACCAGTTCATCCAACTGCTCTTCATCTTGGGCTTCGTCCCGCTTGGCTTTGGAGCTCGACCGTGAGGTCGGCATTGCAAACAACTTTTTGAGGTGCTTATCCTTTTGAAATTGATCTTGGGGATAGACCTTGCAACTATCATCCAAGATTGGGACATGACCTTCGATCTTGAGCTGGACGACCTTGTCATCTGGACGGACTAGGATTGGTTTGCCATTGGCAGGCCATACGAAACTGTAACCCTGATCTACGCATCTCGTTCCTACAGAGAGCACAGCTGGGGTATGATCAAGCACATACGGATGCACGGGATCTGGCAATGCGGACAACTTGACATCAGCAACTTCGTTTGCCTCAGTCGAACCGTTGGCTGTGACTAAGGAAATCGGATGCTCGGCTGCACGGCAGTTCTTGGCACTTACATCCCTCAGCATTCCTTTGGACACAAGATCGGATTCACTACCTGAGTCAACAAGCCAACTAACACCGGCCTTTGGCGCAGCTGTGGCAATTGACGGGAAACGACCAATGTCTCTAAGGGCTTTGGGACCGCTGATGAACCTGCACTCTTTGCATGTGATGTCACGTGTGTCCTCATCCCAACAACAAAACCCACAACTTGGTGCAACATCTGAATCATGAAGTTTCACAGTTTCTTGGAGCTGTCTTGCACGAACCTGAGCTTCATGCTGTTCAACCTTTGATGAAACTGGAACATCTTCAGCTGTCTTGTACACCTTAGTGAACTCTCTTGGACGGTGCTTGACTGGGACTTGACGACCGACTGCCTTCACCTCGATCACATGTGGGGCCTTTCGGAATCTAAGACGCTTCATGCTGACACTTGCCTCATCAGAGCACGAAGTTGCCTTCGGCTGTTTTCGGACGATGCATGCAAACTTCTGGATCAGACATGGAGCGGCTGTGGAATCCTTGCCCTTCTTCTTGGGAGCGGGTGAATTGGCCCTTTTGGTGTCTTTGGTGGCGGCAGCGGCTTTGTCATCATGTTTATAAAAACATTTGTCACCACGTCTGCACTTTCCCTGGGCATGATAGATGCATGGGGTTTTGGCCATTTCTTCTTTGGACATCTTCTTCCCCTTATCATCCTTATTGCCCCTTGATGGTGAACGTGTTTTGGTTCTTCTGGGTGATTGAGTTCGAGATTTATCATCTTTGACATGCTTGAATGGACACTTCTTCCCCTTATCACAGGTACCCTTTTGGAACTTATAGCAAATCTTGTCGCCTTTGCCACCTCGTTCCTGCGATCTACCGCGACTTGGAGAGCCCTTTCGGCCGCCGCGACCATCGCCTTTGGCGGGTGCGGCCTTTGTGTCCTTAATCCCAGCCTTGTTCTTCTCCGCAATGCGGTTCCTGTTCTCCCTCAATCGTTCACGATCGATCAAGTTCTTCATGGATTGGTGAAGAAAACTGTAAGACTTTTCATGGGATTTCTCATGAGCACGGTCAAACACCTCGATGTCATATTTCAGCAACTGACTTGGTCGGATCTGCCTCAGCAAGATGTCCCTTAACACAGCATCATCGGGGGTGACAGCCATGCCAGCTAGGGTAGCATCCCATTTGTTGATGAATCTTCGGAGATCCTGGACAGTATCGCCTACTTTGACAACACCCAAAAGATCTTCTACTCTGTAAAGGCTACCTGCTTCTTCTGATGTCTTGAAGTAGTCCTCAAACATAAGCAGAACATATCTTCCCCTGACCTGGATGCCTTTTCGGGATTGCTGCTCCTTGAAATTCAAGATCCTAGTTGCGAGGTCCCCTCCGGCTGAGCGCGTGAGCGCTGCTGATAACTTTGTATCCAGCGTGAGGAACTTTCCAGGATCTTGGAGTTTCTTCTCCAACTGCTCTCTGGTGCACTCTTGATCGTACACCTCGTTGAGCCAGAGCCACGCCTCATCCGGGCGATCTGAACAGCTTTTCACTTCATCCCTGACATGATTCTTCCAAGTTCTATATGACTCCGGAGCGGGCATGTTGTTCAGCTTGATGAGTTCAGCCTCCTTAGTTTTTGGCTTATCCTTTTCTTCCCTTTGGGTTAAGGCTTTCACCAATTCAATAAGATCTGAGGGACCCATAACTTGCTGTTGCTTGGTTGCGCTCTTAGGAGATTCATTTGGGGGAGTTTTGATAGCTTCAGTGGGAGTGAAAAACCCTGACTGCGTTGGCAATTGGGGCTGGTCGTTGCCGACAGCCGGCTTTTGCTTGGGACTGCCACCTTTGAGCAGCTCATCCAACTTGGCCTTTGCTTCCTGCGCCAACACTGCAGGCGTCTTAAACTCAAGAATCGGCTCATCACTGCCTCTGGCAGCCTGTGCATCGGATGCTTTGGGAGTGGCAATATTGAAGTGGGGCACGCTAGTGGTAGCGGCCGGCTCGGCGTTCTGGACGGATGCTTTCGGAACGGAGGCATGCTGCGCTTTGGCAACATGCTTTAACTGCTCCTGAAGATCATCGATTTGGTCCTGAAGGCTAAGGTTCTGAGCCGCTGCCTCGTTGATCTTGTCGGCCATCTCCTTCTTGTAGTTCTCAAACTCAGTCCTCAAACTGATGAACCTGGCCTGATCAATTGCAGCCTGATCTTCATATTGCTTCTTTGTGGCAGCTATGGCATTCTTTGCATGTTCAACTGTCTGTGCATAGGAAGCTTCGAATTCACTAGTGATACGTTTCCTTTCCTCTGCAATTTTCTGATCATGCTTTGTGTTTGCCTCTGCCTTTACATCCTCTATTCTTTTGTCATGCGATGCCTGAGCCTGATTCAACCTGACCTCCATCTCGTCGCCTCGTTTCCTCTCCTCGTTGAGGGCACTAATGGCATTACCTTCAACCTCCTGCAGCCTTTGCTCATACTCCTGCTCCTGCATTACGAGTCTACTTGACCATTCGTTTCGAATTGAGTCAACTACTCCATGCATTATCTGAAGGTGCCTCTGTTCAGCTTCCCTCATGACTTGCAGGGTATTCCCACTAGTAATCTGGGACAGGTTGTTTTGTATGAAGGTAAAGTACGCAACAACGGGTTGGAACATTGTTTCGTCATCCATCGGCTCGGGGTTGCCCCCGGCCATATTAGGCACAGCGACAGCCGATGGACCTGACCCTGGAACGGCGAGAGGATGGTCAATTGGGGTCCCCATAGCAAAGTAGTGAGACTACGGCTGATAACCTGTATTTTACAAGGTCAGCCACCAATTAGGTATACAACACTAATGGGGTGAACCTACAACCGGTAAGCGGTCAGCACTGTTTTGAACCAACGCTATCGGGCAGATCGATGATATATACAATACATGGTTTTACTGCAGGAGTTTTTACAATTTCAATGGTTCATGAAACAACTATGTCTATGTTCATCCTGTTTCATGGTATCTTATTTACTGGTATTTTAGAGGTTTAGATGCATTTCCATTCTTTGCTGGAGGCATTTTTTTGCAGCAATGATGATGATCATCGATGAAGATTTCCAACAATGATCGGGATGCGTCATGTCTTTTTCGCGGAACCCAGTCTTGAATATGTTTGACCCCATACACATTGGTACAAATAAAAAACACCAAGGCCACCAAGGTAAAGGTAAAACTATAGGGTAAGAAAACATACTGCGGAATGAGGCAAAGCAGTACTTTTCACTGACAATGGCAGCCCTAATTACTAATACATCATCAATATATTATATACATAGTATGTACATAGTAGGGTATGTATACTATAATCTGTGTACAAAATATAACACCATAATACAATGCTCTGGTCAAACAAGCAAACAAAAAATGTGGGAACGGGTAACGGTTCCAATGTTTGTCCAGGTTGACCGCCTGGATCTGGGACCTGTTTCGCGTGGACATATCTCTGTGCACGTCCAGTCAACTGGACAAAGAACAGCGCGGACTGCACTATGGATACCCTCTGGTAAACTAACATAACTATGGAAAATCACTTTTTTTAATGGGTAAATCAACTATAAATGGCCATGTTCAATAGCTATGTTTGTTTACCAGAGGGTAATAATTCCACTCCCCCTAATACTAAACACCCCAAAAAACATATAAATGATTCCATACCATCCACTAGAAAAAATTATGGTTCTGGTGTGTGCTTAATATTGGAATATTGTATCATTATGGATAAGAAACAACATTGTGGATAACAAACAACCGTTTTTTGGATGTTGATATTGACATGTTGGAAGATATTAAACAATATACAGTATATGATATTTACTATTCATATAATTATATTATTTTTTTTTCTATGAATAAACAGCATGTGCTTCTGAAAAAGGACCCAAGTGGTCACCACTTAAGTTCTATGATCCCTTGCGATCCCCTGCCTCGGTGTAAGTACAAATGGGTCGTACCACCGGAAGGTCGATCCCTGTAGCATACCTGGTGCCGATACAACACACAAGCAGCAGCCAGAAAAAAGGGAAACCCAATGGGAAACCCAATGGGAAACCCAATGTGGGGCACCTAAGATAGCTAAGTTTTGTTTTAACTACATAGGTATCCATGCTATTTAAATATATATATATATAGAGAGAGAGAGAGAGTCACTCGGATTTATCTATATTGATGCTGGATATGATATGTAATTACTGTTGATCCCTGGCCTGAGAACATTACAAACCACTTGGCTTTTGGCTTATAAAATGACAAATCAGAAAGGATAGTGCTATAAAATGACAGATCCAAAGGTTATAAAAGGTCATTTGCGACCTGGAAATGAAACCTGGAATTTTTCACACGGGCCATTTACCACAGATTGGGACTTCGGAGAGGATTTTCAACAACGATCCAACACTATGACAATGTGGTTTCATATATGCCTCTCATTTTGCACGAAATACCACATGTTTCAAAAGAAAACCGATCAATGTACCTTATAAAATGGTAAATACATGTGTATATATATATATATGAATTTGAATGCAATCACTCTTTTGCACAAATGCAGGTTGCTTGTAAAATCTATAAGGTTTGACTTCCATTTTTGGAGGACAACAAGCAAAAACATGTCTTTAAAAACAAAACACCTTTTAAGACCAGGTTGGTTGATATCCTTTGTCATTTTACAAGCTCGTTTTTGATTGAAAACAGGGTAGTCTGAAAAATTGCCTATTGACTCCGGGAGAATTGGCAATTTCAAAGGAACCTTTTGGCATCCTGCTTTTGAAATGACCCTTGAAAACGCCACTAATAAGGGTTACTACGAGGGGGATTACTGTTGAATAACGGGGGGGGGGTGCCCACTTTGGAAGACATAAAGAAGTATACAAGCCACCAAAACTATGCACCCCAAATATGTGCAAATGATCAACAATGAGGAACATTCCTTATCAGTGCGCCACTCTTTGCTTCAACTGCTTCAATCTAGATGCTTCCAAGCAGGCACATCTCTTGATCAAAGTGTCTTTGTGACCTACCTGCAGATACATCAGATGCATTCAAATATCAAGCATAAATAACCACATCTTTGGAACCATTTTTTTCAAACATCAATGGCAACACGTGGTTCCAGTGAACCAAGTCCACAAAAAAGGGCTGGTTCCATCATGTTCCATCCGGAAAAACCCAGGGTACACCACCCATTCATTGAAAATGGGTGTCGTTGTCGCGAAGATATGTCGAGGATCTAGCGCCATCTCCTGGGGGTCGAGTCGAATTTCTGGCGAACCGCCAGATCTGAATCTCGGGTGACTGGCTGTCCGCAAAAAAAAACCAGCCATTGTCCCAGTCAATGTCCCAAATACATCTTATTTCAGGTGATATTTGTCAAATATATTTCAATTGGGTTCTTCATCACATTTGTTAAACAAAACCTCTATAAACAAGCAAATGTTCACCCGGTATTAGAACACATATAACTAACCGTACAACCATGGTCTTTGACCAGTTACCAACTGGGATGTCCTTTCAAGCAAGGGACCCGCCCCCATTACTGTAGACTTTGCAACCCCGGGAACAAAAATACCATGCGTACTTTGCCGTTTGTCTTTTGTGCTCGGTTATCATTGGGTTGTTGGATCATACTTAATTGGTAACAAACCGATTATGATTGGGTTTATCAATTGTCGTTGATGGGTCACAAACAAGGCACACACAGAAAATCCGGCAAGAGAAAATAAACCAAGGTGGTCTGGAAGTTGCGGAAAAATAATCACAGAAATTGAAGTGTATAAACCATTATAATCCACCCAACCACCCGCCATGAAACTTGCCAACACAGTCAGTCCAAACTTGGTACGCCCAAACACTGGCTGTCTTGAAACCAAACATTGGGAGACATCGCCCGAGAATGCAGGGTTTTGGGAGGCTGGATGCCACCACGATTACAACATCCTGAAGAATTGGGATGCCCCAAATAGCTTCACTATCCATTCCAAGGAACCCAATACTGCTTCATGTTAGATCCCACTTGTAGATCAAAAACTTCAATTTTGAAGGTTTCAAGGAACTCCCTTTGCAATGAGTAATTACACAGGTGGCTGTGAACAACTCGGGCCCTTGGACCCTTGGAAATCCGAAGATCTCCACCAAGCGTCGTAAAACTGCTGGTACCATTCAGCACGATCTTCTTTGCCAACCTTGCGGCTGATGATTCTAGCGGCACGAACCATCAACACAAACTCATCCAGAGAAACACCATGAATCAAACAAACAAAATCCAACAATTGTTCCAAGGACTGCGAATCTGGTCATGATTTTGGAAGAAGGATGAAGAAGGTAAGCAAATGTAAGCAATGGCATGTTCACTATTAATAACACCATTGCCATGGAACACTAATGGAAATCCCACAGTGGCTGGGCACGCTGGAATTGGTATGATCTGCAGAGGATCCAGTAAAGGCTGAAAAAGGGACGTGACTAGAAATCACAAGGGACAAAATCAGAATTCGAGGCACGCTGATATAAACTTGCACCCCCCAAACTTGCACCCCCCAAAAAGGAAATTGCCTTCCCCACCACAGCTTTCATAGATCATTGAGAGTACATACTCTCAGAAATCCTCACATACATCCTGCATATGCACCCTGAGGTTGTGGCTGGTGTGGTTAAGATGTACCTACTGTAGAAGCAAAGTAAAGTCGTCCGCCTTTCTTTTTTCAGAACGCAAGTGCCGCAAAGTGGCGCCGCCCCCAGCTATGTTTGTTTGGGGCACCTCCTTGAGTATCGATCAACAACTTCCACTATAGCAGAATGAGGAATGCCCCATGTTTTGCCTCAAAAAAAACAAGTTTTACCGATTTTAGCCATCCCAAACACTAGTGGCTTCACTGGAAATCATTCCGTTTGGAACAAACCTCGGTTTCACTAATCACATGCTGCATGGGTTAAGGATACAACACCCATGAAAGATCATGAAAGCAGGTCTCATCCGGCCACATCCTCCGGTGGACTCAAAGCAACTCTTTGAAGGAATGGGACTGAACCAACAACAACACCAACATTGAGTGAATAAGCTCGAGATGTCCCAAGTTGAGAATCAATGGCTCCAAAATGAAGCGGGAAGAATATGTAATTATATGTTGTGTGTGTACGCGTCCCGCTATCCCTTAACCATAAAATCATAGTGGGACCCCTCATTCTTTCAGGTGGTTTAGAGCTGTTTGGGGTGCTTCTTGACCATACCTCTGCATCTTTGATCACTGAGGCCCTAGGTTCACACGCATGATATAGCAACCAACAAAGTATGTAAACGTAGCCACCAACACCATAGCTAGCCCACATAGCTGAAGCAACTGGCATATTTTTCTCTGGGTGGTCTTATGGCATGGGGGATTGGAGAAAGATAAAAGCTGGGGCAATCTTTTGGAAAACGTCATTTACCAAGGAAACAGTGCCCATGATGATTTCCAAACCATGAGCCTGCAACCCTGATTGGAAAGTCCATGAAAATTCCAAACATCCTCTCCTAAATGTTTTGGGCTATAGAAACTTGGGCAAGAACCCATCTGTCCAAATCCCAAAAAATATGGTGTGTCAAACGTGTCAGTGGCGTGTCGCGGGTGGTTCCTCACGGGTGCGGTAGGGGGGCCCATTAGGCTAAGGAGTCCCACTATGGGACCCCTTGAAAATTGTCGGGGATATCCACCAACTTTGGGGGTCATTTTTGTCTTGCAGAATCGTACTTTTTGGGGTTTGGTCAAAAAAAGAGATCGATCAATTTTGTGGCTCCAGAAGGGTTTTTCCGGACCAACATCCTAGTCGATCTGGTTTCCGCCATGTCGGACGAAAACAGGGTATGGCTGGCTAACCCTATCGATTTTTGCCAACTTCTATAAATGATATCTTATTTATTGTGGCTGGTTCCCCTTAATGTTTCATGTGAATATATGCACATTATCCCTGAAATACATCATGGCTAAATGCATGTACGTGTTTTTTGGCTGGGGGGCTACGTCAGCTACGTTGCCCGGGCGGGTGAGACATAGAATACCATATAATCATGGTCAGGACATGTGATTTTAACAGGTCAGTGGGGCCCCTTGGGCTGGTATATATATATAACAGAAGAACAACATGATTTTTGGAAACAACAACACACCCAAGTTGTGGAGCATCAAAAATCTCAAAACACCATGCGTTGGACTGCCGAGGAGCATACACTGAAATGGGTGTGGAGATGTAGCCAATCACTGGCTGCCCAAAGTAACTCAAGAGACGGCAGAAAAGAACCGGTTCTCCGCACATGAAGAAATCCTGAGCGTGGAGGGCAACTCTTGGATTTGCTGATCCCAAAGCGCACAACAAAAATAAAAAGAAGTAGATGTCCCATTGGAAAAACTACCCAAAATCACCTTCAACAAAGCCATGTCTTTCAGTGATGCCATGACGGATGCCATGCCTTGATCACGTTTGCGAGACGGGGTATCCTTTTTGGAATCGACGGAATTCCATAAGAACTTAAGACATTTTCCATGTCCGTATTGCTTGCTTACATTTACTGTTACCCTCTGGTCATTTAACATAGCTATTGAAAATGGTGATTTACAGTGGATTTGCCCATTGAAAATGGTGATTTTCCATACTTATGTTAGTTTACCATAGGGTATATTAGAAGTATCGAACATAACGCAACTCTTCACCAAGCCAACGTCAAGCGATGCACCCCACCCCTGTGTGAACCTTTGCTTCGGGGCCCCATTCTTGATCCACAGATATCGAGGTGAAATGACATTAGTAACCACGAATCACTTTAACATGGAACATCGAGAAACAACTTATCCACAAACTGTTTACCGGGCCGATGTGAAGCTGTTCGATATATTTATTCTCTAATACCAAATTTCGCAATTCTCCTCATGAAATCCTTTTCGGTGTCATAATGTGTCATTGTTTGCGGGTCAAACCGCCAATTCAGTGCTTGTGACATCCACAGTGTGGTTGCTGATGAGACTTTTGCCGGTTTGAAACCATTGTTTTTGTAAGTCAAGTTCCAGTGTGTTTCTGGTTTTCCACCCCATTTCAACCAAAGTTCAGCGTTTTTAATCCATTGTGAACCTAATTTGCTGCCGAAATATCCGTTAGTTTTGTCATTTAATACATCATAACGCAATCGTTCAATCAATTCTGATGCAAAAAAGAGCGGGTATGCTCCCAAAATTTCGGTGGCAAACACGACCTTCTAGTCCACTGGAATTTGGTTGTACTGTTGTCATTTGCAAAAAAACGCGTATAAATCCAACGTTGGGGCAGTACTATATATAAAAAAATAAAGGACTATTTTCAAGAGATTGTCCAGATCTATCCTGCAATACCACCAAGTCATAGCTATATTCTAGCTGGAGTTGATATATATATATATTTACATTTACATAATAATTGTGTATATATATATATTATACATACAAAATAAAATACAATATTCAAAATTATTATAAATATGAATATATCACTATATATCTATAAGTCTATAATTATAAATACATTTATATGAACATTATGTCCATGTCATTTTTTTTTCATGTTCCGCGCCAAGGGTCTGCGTCTCGAAGTCCTTCGTCACGGCCCATAAGGCCTACGAAGCGCTCGTAGTACTCGGAGGCCTTGGTTCCGGCGGCGACGTCGGTACTGATTTGATACCGAGGAAACTTTGGAATTCAGAATTACCCCGCTGTGGGAAATATCCCATTTCTACTTGCTTTACCTATTAACAATGGTGATTTTCCATAGCTATGTTAAATTACCAAAGGGTATTTCAGTAATTACCAAAAAAATGACAATAACATAAAATTAACAAACTAAAGTTGCGGTGATTTCAACAAATCATTGCAGATTTCACTGGATTTCAGGCAATGAACAGATTGAAAGCTGCAAAAAGTGGAGATGTCAACTACCTGACAAAACATAAGAAATTAAAATTACTTCGCCAACAGAGAAGGTGGACTTCAACATATTCTAAACCTGAACCTGACCGTTAGTGGGTTATAACCCATTTACGATTCCTGGGGTGAACCAACAAAGATCAACCGGGGATAGTTGAGGATGATGACCAAGACAAATATGTGGGGTTTCAACAAAATTCGTAAGACAGGAGTGGTACATGTGTATATATATATATATATGTATATGTATGATGATTCTATTGTGCATGTATATAATATGATCAAAATAAACATAATTCAATTGTATCATATATATATTTATATTTATATACATAGAAACAAATAAATCAATGCTGAAACTCAAAAACAAATACAATGTGATCAACGATGAAACTTGTACAAGACATGTCACCAGAGCAACCACTATTGAGGATGCAATCCACCATGGTAGATTATAAAAGCAATAATTGACAAACTTAGGGGATTTGACAACAATCTAGTAGTCAACATAGAATATATAATATATATAATGCATGCAATGTAAGATGTAATTTTGGCTATCAAATTCTATCGGTATTGACCAACTTGACACTCTAACAGCGAACTCATTGCAATAAAGTCAAAGTTTGCTCAAACAACAACTCTTCGTAAAAAAACAAAACACACATTAAAATCAATTTTATGACATGGTTGTTGACTGTAGGTATTGTTGTTCCTGGTTTTAAGAACCATGTGGTTGTTGCTGGTTGAACTTTTTTCACGCATATGGTCATATGATATTCCAAGCCCCAAGAAGTAGAAACACCTCAGCCACTATCTCCTAAAGTAGGTAAATTCGATCTGTTTCCTGTTTTAATCCCATTCTGCTATGATTTTCCATTATGAACCATCCATTTGGGGTACCCCCATGTATGGAAACCTCCATCAGTTCTTTTTTGGTTGCTATACATATCACGTCTGGCACAACGCCCCCCCACGTCACAGACACAGCACAGATCTCAAAAAATGGTGACGAGCCTGGACCAGGTGGGCCCCACTTAGCAAATGGCTAGCAAATGGCACCACCCACTTAGCTTAGCTGGCTTATACCACCCAAATAAAAAATATGGAATATCCCAAAAATCCCAACATATATGGGATTATAGGGGGTTATAAATGGATTATACATCACTTACTAAATGGGATACAAATCCAATAGTGTGGGTAAAACAATGGTCATAAACCACCAATGACTGGGAATGCTAACCATACCACCTATAAAAATGGTGATGACTGGGGGATGGTAAACATGGCATTGTTTTACCCACATTAATGGCCATTAAATGTTGGGGAAACAATTACTTGCTCAACATCATGAAATTTCAGGGAGTTACAATGAGTTACACCTGGTGTAAGCATCAGGTGTTGTTTTTGTGTCAGCACCGCACTAAAAAGATATCAATCTGGAAATCTCAACAGAATGGCCCTGGGGTTCCAATGTGGGGACAATAATATCAACAAATAGCTTTCGGAAGGTATCCACCTCACTTACTACTCTCAGATTGTCTCACTAGAGCTCACAGCTTCCTATAGCCCTCAGACCTCACTTGAGCTTCGCCGAGAACGTGAGATTGCAATCCTACGTCGCACATCATTACAGTAAACCTTGTGGTATATATATACACTTATGTGACAAGAATTATTGACTTACGTGGCGGGCATGCATAAAATATCATAAAATGAGCTATGCGAAGCTTACGTTGATAGGTTTAACTTTCAAACGCATAGGAACTGCTTGGGCCAGAAGGCATGATAGTGCTTACGCCGGAGCTTACGCCTTGCATTCTAGAAGAGTGGCTTACCCCACCTTACGAAAGCCTTGCGCACGCCTGGAATGCGATGGGAAAGATTCTGTATGGTGGGGGAAAAGAGATGTGGGGTGGGGTGGGATGGGGCAACGATGACATGCAAACTCGATAGCAGGCGCCCTCAAACGAGATCGAACATATAATGTGGAATGGGGTGGCGCAAGGAAGTAACCTGGTCTTGTCGTCTCATCTGCAACCAACTCAAACATAGAAGTCAATGAATTCTAAGCATTTCAAGATCATACTGATTGGATAGTTCCCGCATGCGGACATCTTCCATAGACGGTGTTTTTCCAAAACTTCATGGCAGCACTGGTAGTTGCAATGTGCATTGCGCGTCTCCAACGGAATTCGCCATGTCATGCACCGAGGGATGCACCACTTATTGGATCTTATTGGTACAGCGCCAGGATCCTGAGCAAGTGCTGACATAGAAATCCGCCGAACTTGGGATGTAGCGATCGATACCTTTTACAAACATCGATGGCATCAGAGATTCGATTATAAATTATATAAAAATTGTATCACAAGCATGTCAGATGGCAAACATTTGTGAACGGTCATCTTGTGAGTTGCGAGCCATCAGAAACCCTTGTGAATCCTCGTGGGTATTGTGGTGGGTTATTGTTTGGGGGGATGGTGCGCAGCGGTGCTTCCGTTGACGGCTGACTAAAGGTTTCTTAGTCTTTTTAAGGCCACAAACCCTGCAGGCGTGCTTTCTTCATCCCCTTCTTTGAAGACGTCTCAAGATAAACAAAACAGAACAACATGTTGAGTTGAATAGGAAGGCTAAAGCCAATCGACGCAATAATTGAAACCTGGAGGACTCCTAACGAGAGCAGGGAACACTTGCTGATCAGCTCCGATCAGAAAATCCCATGAATTTCGGTCAAAATTAGCCTCTGGTATTTTAACACGCATATGAGCATTTGACCATTTTTGAGAGGTGGTTTACCACTATTCAACATGGTGATTTTCAACAGCTCCTTCACACTACGACAGGGTAAATCAACTTCTGCTATCATGGCTAGATGTTTTATACCCGCAAACAAGTTGATGTTTAGTAGGGCATTGTATTTCCCGTATTCATTGCAACGATAAACCAATCATGGAAACCAACCATAGAAACCGATATGTGCCATCGTCATAACATGTTATGTATACATATTGTGGGGTATGGTCAATGGTCATCCCACTGTCATTATGGATTCCTTTCAATGGATATGATATCTGGGTAAATTATAATAATTCACTAACCTGAATTAAGGCCATTTGGGGATGATTCCCCTTACTAACCATGATTCCAGTGAGGTCGCAGTGAGGTCGTTATGATTTACCAATCTATATATATATATACTATATATCATCTTATATACAGTAATGTATATATATATATATATACACTATATATACATACATTATTTAGACATTATGCATGACCATCCCGTACGAAGGCAAATAAACAATGTAACTTGAACATTTCACCAACGTTACGTGGTGACCCAGACTTTTTGTGGGTCGATGAATCCTATAGTTTGATCTCAGGTAGCCTCACCCCCTCCGAACATGCCGCCTTGTGGTCGCCCACATGGCAGTCCAGCAAAACTTCAGTGAAGAGCCTCAGTAGTTGCTCTGATCTCGCATCTGCAGCGTTGGTCTGGGATCTGACCAATTTATGCCTTCACCATGGAAAAATGTTGCTTCCACCAGAAAAAAATATGACAATTCACCAAAGAAAAATCAGGACTTGAGCAAGGCAAATCGGGATTTGAGCATCAAACATGCGGGTTGAATCAACAACAGTACAAGGTGCTCCTGTTTGTTAGGACATTTGGTTAATATAACCAGGCTGACTAGGATTCGTTTATGGTTTTTATCACTAGTGAGCTAGGTTTTCTTGAAGCAGCAAAGATAAGTGGGAGGCATCACCTTGTAGAGTGGAATCATTGCCTTCATCAAATATGGTTGATAGTATGCCGCGGTTGCAACATGTTGAAAGATTTTTTGCTCTGAAAATTGCTGATCCTGGGATAGTATATATACCCCTTTCCAGATGAAGACCCTGCACATGACAAATGGAAAAATTGATTTCACAATGGATTCTCACTCAAGTTGGGCACTTGACTTCAGAGTGAGTAAACGGTGCAATATTACATGTTTCGCGAAACCACCGGCGGTTTCGACGAAAACACACATAAAACTAATTGTTGAGTCATGATTGTATCTGCAGGACACAATATCATTAAACAAAAACTACCTCTTGGACCATGGGTCGAAAATGGATACCAAAAATCCGCAGGAATGACCAACATGTCAATGCCCGAGAGATCCAAACCTGACCCATAGCCAGACAAGGTAAAGACAACAATGCCTATTCTGATGGATACTGTTTCCCTCTCAGCATTCCTTGGAACGGCTATTTGAATAATTATCTATTTACCCATGCAGAAACAGCCATATCTTCTGGGGTGCTTCATGATCCATGATAAACTTGCACTTAAATCTGTTGTTATGCAATATCAATATCCAACTATATCCCCCGTCTTTGTCAGTCAAGGGCTCCCGCACCCTATCATTGTGGATTCATACTCCCATGTGTGTGTGGCACGTCTGAAGAGACGTAAAACTTCGTTGGAGGCTCATCATGTTATATCGTATAATATTATATTTATTATTATCATTTTATATGTTAATGTATTATATTATATTTGATGAAATTATATCATATTAAATTAAATTATATTATAATATACTATATTATTCTATATTATATAATATTTTATTATTGTATATCATTAGTTTATATATATATATGTTATATTATGATATATAAAATTATACTATATTATAAAATTTATATAAATTATTATATTATACTGTACTATATTATTCTATATTATATTATAACAAATTAAATCAAATTATATAATGTTATATCGTTAAAGCAGGGGATCACCGGGGTCCCGGGGGGGTCGGTGATCAACGAAGACACCTCCCCGGGACCCGTGTAAACGTACCTGCTAGGCTTTGGTGGTGCACCTGGGCGCATTTAAGTCGCAGCTGGTGGCCACCATAGCCTACTATACATATATATATATATAATCTAAATGCATGTGAGGGGATTCAGTTCCCAACGGATCACTTCAATGATCCAATTTCTTGTCTAGTGTGTGTTTGGACCATACTTCCACGTGTTGAGTTTGATGGTCCATAAAGTTGAAATTCACACGTTGAAACTTGAAATGCTAGAGTTCTTTAAGTTTTGTTGTCACAACCAGCAACAACTGCGCGCTGCTGCTGAGATCCAAAAAATGTTTCTAGAATAGAGAACAAAGGGATCTTGTATCAGTTTATACCATTTGGGGGTGTTGCACTTTGACCCATTCCCCAACCATCCGTGCTCTTTCATCTTAGATTCCCCTTGAACGCCTGTTCATATGTAGTTGGGTGTCAAAAAGATGCACCCGTCAACATAGATAGCAAAACATTCAACCATAAAACTACCCTTCAATCCAGTGCTTGATCATCGCCATACATGGGGAGCTATGATTACCAGCAAACACACCTGCATATCATACTGTTGGTTAGATACCCCATCAGAATTTGCATTATGCTTGGTTACAAAACCACCATTTGTGTTGGTTTAAATGCCCTCATTTTATGGTTGCCTTGTAATCCGCTCTGTTTTAAGTGAACATTTTTGTCAAGAATCCAGACCCATATACATACCCTATATATATATATATTAGTTCATTTTTTCTTAAATGTCATAATGTCATAATGTTCTATCCCATATACATACCCTATATATATATTATTTCATTAAATGTACCATTAAATTCCTATTATAGCACCATGTTAGACGCTTCATATTATGTCATTGCCAGTAGTCTTGGTTATAAGTGATTATAAGTGATTATATATGCAACTACTGTATATGGTCCACTATGGTGGATTGTAAATCAACAGTGAGTCGCTAACATCACCAAAAAAAAAACAACAACAACATCATCTTTGGAACATCTTGGGGAGTTGTTATTTTGTTGATATCATCAGTAAACATCATCTGTCTTCCAAAAAAATCACTATTGGGGAGTCGGTCACCCATCCGCTATCATCCGCTCAAGCTCAACAGCTCAACATGCGTTGAGCGTCTCATTCAACTCTAGGAGGCGTTCGTCGGTAGCGCACCAACTACCTCCCTCAGTCGTTGAGCGTTCATTTTTTGATGGTTGGGGATGCAAAATTAACCGTGATTTCCTGGGATTCAGTAAGATTTAGAGATGTGAGCTAACAAAGCTGCGGTTTTAGGATGATCCATTCTAAGATGATTTGAACATCCCTCTGCACCTCTGGTACCTGGGAAGTGCCTGCAGCATCCCGAATTAGAATCCGTTCATAAACCATCTTTGGCGGCAAAGAGAATGATCTGGGGGTCTGATGTATTTTTCTTAGATGTATGCAACATGAGTAGATTGGTAGGCAGAAATGGTGACTTCACACGACGCTGGAGCTCGGTGAGGAGTTCAACAGGATTCTACATGGGGAGGCGGTGAACGCATGGCATCCCCCAATTTGATTCTGAATCATCATGTTCCCATTTCTATCAGAAGGCTTCGAAGTGGGGTCTCCCACAATCGGACACACCGAAATATCTCAGTGGAAAAAGACAATTATCAGTAGAATATACATATATATATATATATATACATGTATATATATATATATACACGTATATATATATATATACATGTATATATATATATATACGTATATATATGTATATATATACGTATATATATATATACATATACATATGTATATACGTATATATAATGATATATATATATATATACATATATAGTGTAACACTACTGAAATCAATCTCTAATGTTGCAGATATGTGCTGTTCAAAGATATATCCCTTCAATGCTCCAAAGTCCTTTCACCTTCCCGGCTTTGATTGCGCACGGCTTCGAGGTGCAATGAAGCGGCAATGGCTGTGTAATCTGGCCACGTCCTTTAAAAGGGAACTTGGGGTGAACATAACGAGGCCAACATGGATGTGTTTATGATAGTTTATAGGTTATATATATATGTATATATATATATATGTAATATGTATATATATATATAATAATAATAATAATATATAAGTATACTTATATTATATTACACATATCTTATATTATACATATTGGATATATCTGGAACTACTTAAGTGGGTGAACATAAACCAACGTACAACTGAGAAGCACCACAATGTACCAATGACTGATGAACCTTTGTGAGGACCATATGTACATTATACATATTCTGCATCTACAGGTATTGGGAATGAATCCAAAGCTGTTTTGAGTTTTGAGAGTTTACTTGGACGCCAAATTCCTTCCCCTCGCTGAGAGAGTACTTGCATTCATGGAGTTACATATGAGCATTTTGGGGGTGTAGTATGCATAGAAATATAGAAACATACAGTACACGGAGTAGTCCGGTGTTTTTTTGAACAATGTTCCATATTCAATTACCACACCACCAAACATCAGTTCAATTCGTATTCTTGAACTCCGCACTGTTTGCAAGTTTGAGTCCCCAAAACAATAGTTCCAATACAAAACCTGTCTTGAATATCAACTTCAACACCAAGCAGGAAGGGATTTCAGAACTATCCAATAGTTGAATAAGCATCCAATAGGAGTTAAACATTTCAATGCATGCTCGCGTGGTGAAATTACAGTATCTCTTCTTTTGGGGTACTCAGCATTATTGATGTCAGCAAGACAACAAGCAATAACAGATCCTCAGCCGTCTTGGCCGTGACGTCCAGGATGTGTAAGGTGCTTTGAATGTCGAAGGCGTGGGTCAGCATGTGTTGCCTCAATGCGGGGAATGAATTTATTTTACTTTGAATGATTTGACATGATTTGGGCAACACAATTGGTGATTTGCATGATATGGTTTAACAAACAATGGTGATTCAACCATCTAAAATGAGGATTTACCCAAGAAGAGTAGGGATGTTATGCCGCCATGTGCCGCCAAGTTGGTGTAAAAACGGTTTGATGTGGTTTATGGTGTGTATATATATATACTAGTACCCACAGTTCGATGGGATTTCAACACCAACTTATCACTGGAGAGCCCCAGGATTCTCTTCAACTCCCAACCGCGGAGTTGTAAGTTGGTTTATAATCCTTGATCCGATCTAATTAGTTCCGTATATCTACTATATAAACCGTTCCGTAAAGCTAGTGATGTTTACCAACTTTGCCGTCCGGGACCTTGGCACCTTGGCATTCACGGGAGAGTCCTCTCGGGTGAGCATGGCACTCTGTGGCCTTCCAAATGAGGACTTATGAGCTATGGAAGAACATATCTGGTTGGTGGTTTCAACCCCTCTGAAAAATATTAGTCAGATTGGATCATCATCCCAATTATTGGGGAAAATAAAACATGTTCCAAACCACCAACCAGATATATACTCCAAGTCTCAACCCATGCCTTGGACATTTCAGGCGTTACCACTTAAGCATCCCGACCAAAAGGTCAGCGGTTCGCGGATCAGTGCAGTATGGTACCTGCGGTCAAAAACTTCCATCAGGACTGACTTTAATGGATTTGACATAGAAACTCAAAATGGTGTACCTTTATGCAGGGTGACAATTGGTGATCATGAACTATTCTTGGAGTCCTAAGGGGGATAAAAGGGATACAAGAGCGGCTGCAGGGCTTGTCTTATGATTCATAGTGCTTTTCAAAGGTGCTGCTCCTGTTGATGTGTTAAGCCCAACTACACTGAGTAGGAAAGGTTTATCAACAGGGCACCACCTGGTGAGTACCCACCAAATTGCAATCTTCGTCCTGCGGAAAATCAGGTTCCAGGGATTCCGTTTTAGGTCAAGTCACACAGTCAGTAAGATCTATCTATCTACCTATCTATCTATCTATCTGTCTGTCTGTCTATCTATCTATCTATCTATCGATCTATCTATATATCTATATATATATATATTGTATTGTATATATTATGAAACATTGGAATCTTTCTGTAATAGGTAGATAAATGTATACGTAGATCATCCAAATCAATGGACTATTCTCCGCAGCACATCTTGGCAAAAATGCCCACAGGTGCGCGTCATGTCCCCATTTCGTGGTCCATTTTTTTTGTGGCAGCTAAAGTAGCGGCCTCCTAAAATAACAGACTCATTGGTGGGTGAAATGGGTATGGCTCAATTAGGTTTACCGGAACTAAGAATTGCCAGAATTGGCTAACCTATGAGATTTTTGAACTTTCACAAGATTCGACAAGATCCAGATCATGTTGGAAAACAACTCGCCAGGTGCGGTCGAACCTATCAGCATGCCACAACGAATGCAGAACATACACATGTTATACATCATGCTTTGATGTTCAATACGTTGATTTGGGAACTGAAACCGGGACACATTTCTCTGGACTAAACGATGTGATTTGTCTGAAAATAAAGTGCCCCCAAATATCCCATTGCGTATCATCACTTTACAACCTAAACATGTTGAGATATCCTCCATTTGGACAAAACCATGTCAAACTTCAATACTTGGCTTCGCCTGAAAATAGGGTACCCTAAATTTAAATCTCCTGGTTAATCATTCATTGTCCCTATCATATCAATATGTCCACTTTGGGATACCGGTATCCCCAATTTTCAGACAAACCTACATTGCCCAAACGGGTCAACGATCAGCACTTCTCCGGGCTCACGAGATCCCGACAGCTTTCAAGGTTCTGAGCCCTGACAGCCTGCAGTCGCGGGACCTACTACATGGCACACGTCCTATGACTGGATGGAAATATGAACATGGAAACCATGGTCATAGAGTCATAGAGTGAATGGAAACATATGGAAACCCGGTCATAAGATGGACAAATGGAATGAAATTACAACCACTGGATGGAAACCCTGAAGGGGGCACTTCAGCAGGTCAAAGAGTATCAGAGCAAAGGCTCTGGTTCTTCAAACATGTAGTTGTAATGCGACTTATTCCAAGCTGCTTCAACTTTTCTTGAGAGGAAGCAAAAGCAGGCTCCGTTCCTATCGTTCCTGTGAAAATAGATGGCCCCAAGATACTATGCTGCTTAATCATCATAGTGTCGGAATCCATCAAAATACCAGGGTTATGCGGAACATCTACCCTCTGGTAAACATACAAAAAAATGGGAAATCACAATTTTTACTGGGTAAATCCACTATAAATGGCCATTTTCAATAGCTACTGTATGTTAGTTATTACCACTATTTTAAGCACGACTGGGCCATTTTCAGACACCCAGACACCCTTGTTGGTGAAAGGTCTCCAGCAGGTCCCCATGAGGACGCCTGGTATGCACCGGGGAGGCCCGGAAAACCCGTCCCGGCGTCAAGGTCGCGATGGGTAAGGCGGCGTCACGGGAGACCCTGCCGCGGTGCTGATCGCATTCAACGGCCGAGCGGATGATTTTTTTAGCAGCCTTGGAGAGTGAACCACTGTAGTAATCATATCATATACATATATGATCATATATGTGTATATATATACTCGGCTGGCTAGACATATCTATATGCATCTATCCATATGTGTATAAGGCAAAGTCTTAAGTCTTCTTCCATATTTACTGTATAATTATGTATATATATATATATATGTACACATGCATGAGTTCCCAAAAATGGTTTCTCCGTGTTCTCCTAATCAACAGTTCACCATCTTTGGGAGTCCATGTGAATATTCAGAGTTGATTCTGTTAGATGTTTTTTTTGTTGTTTTTCTATAGATGATATCCCATGAGTTGTTTGAATTCATGATGTTCCCCCTCAATTATAGATGATGACCACCAAAAAAAACATCATAACATCTAACACCTCCATTTTTTTGGGGGGACCCTGGGATTTCCTCCCCCCAAAAAAGTGATGACACCGAGAAAGTTCTACCATAATCAGCCGGCCTGTAGTCCGAGTTGGCCATGAAGGTCACTGACACCGCTTTCGCCATCTCCACCATCTTCACGCTCCAACCACTGCTTTCCTAAGAGCGGCTTGCTGGGGGATCATCATCCCAGGTTCCGAACTCTTTTTGAGATGGAACATAGTAAAAAAATAATCAATATATATATATATATATTCAGTACATATATATATATATATCATTTTTCTATTCTGCAATTCTGTCAAATGAATTTGAAGTGACCATTTTTTGGAATGGAACATACTTTACAAGGGAAATACTGTGCAAACAACTGGATCTGAAGAGGAACTCAAATGTGAAGAACATGTGCAGGATTGGTGGCAGATTCACTATGGATGACCAAGTGACTAATCAGGTCCTGGCCCCCCAAAAGGCAGCCTTGAACCCAAACAAAAACACAATGATTCCTATGAGCCTTTTTAAAATCCGAAATGCTTTATACATCTTTATACATGACAAAGTATAGATACCTAACAACCAAAGACCTAACGTCCTAAAGCAACGTCATTCGCACAGGCCTTCGGCAACAACCAAGGCACCAGAAAGTGCATGGCATTGAACTTCGAGGCATCGTTCAAGAAACCTTCGCGGCACGGTGACAACTCACAGCCGAAGAAATGGGACCATGGGACATGAAAAAACGCAAGACCTGTCTACATCACAGCCATCCTGACAAATTTTACTGGGGATCATCATCACAAACATATATATATATATATTCCATATACATATACATATATATATATATATTCATGTATATAGAATGAATTTAGGGACATCACACAATGCAAAGCACAGAACAGGTCTGTCTTCCACCGGGATGCATCCCAGTGAGTGCTTAATCCCATCACCAAAAAAAACATGTTTACATTATATGGTACCCCCTCCAATGATGACTACAATCTCTATATATTAATAATATATATATATTCATACATATAACATGCATATATAATCATAAATATAATTATATAAACACAATAGATTATATGCATATATATATATAATATTTCTCCATGACAATGGCGATACAATTAGTGTACGACTTCCCTGTTCAGTGTAGGCGGAAGCGTCCCGTGGATCCGGAGGTCTCCTGAGGTCCCGGGCCTCGGGCATTGTGTGCCCATTCAGACATGCCTGGGACATTGCTGAAGATCTGATGTCCAAACAAACCCATCCTCGGTTTGACAAAGACCGGATTGCTGCAACTAAGATAAAAAAAAGGCCAGGTGCTTGGGACACCATGAAAGGGACGGGCAATACCACAAACATGTTCTTTTGGCTGGGGGTTGAGTTTGACCCAAATATGCTCAAATCATGTCCAATCATAAAGGTATGAAGCATTCTTTTGGCCCGGAGCTCGCTGGGTGGTTAGTCAAAAAGCATCTATAACAAAAAAACTGAATGTATCAAGTTAGCCTGCAACAACAAGACAATGCAAAGAACATATATGGACAATCGAGAAGTGGTCGTAACGGTACGATGCATCATGCAATTTCTGCTTGAAACAACCTTGGCTGTTCATTCGGAGAATCATCGAACAATGATCTGAGGAAGTCATTGGCCGTAGATTTTAATCTTTTGTGGACAACAACATCAAACAAGCATTTCGCCGATTTTCACAGATCATTCTGGTTCTACCTAGATAGAAAACGGATTAAAGTTGTTTACAAACCCAAATAAAGCCCATTAAGCCTATGTATGTATATGTAAATATATAATTACCTATATATATAATATATATATATAATTCTATATATCTAAATAATTATATTATGTATAATTATAGGTATTATATGTATGTATATATATATACACATCTACCATATATGGACCATAACCCCTAGTCACTAGTCGATCTACTTTTCTTTATCAACTTCGTTAACCACCTGAACGACTTCACAAGAACTGACACCGCCAGGAAACCACTGCACCGTGGCGAAACCGTAAAAGCAAAAGTTCCGTTGGAGGTCCTGCTGGTGGTGAATCTATGGAGTCTGGAGGACTCCACTGGAGGACACATTCAGCCAACTTATACCGGGGCTCCAACTTAGTAAACGTGTAAACAAAAGGAACAATTCATTCTGATTGGAAATCAATTCTACTATCCAAGGTATGTGCTCTCTTTTTTGTGCCATGGTCAAAAACATGCCCCTTGATGCCCCCACCATTACGGTCATCCCATGTCACCATCGATTCCGGAGAGATTTTCCGATCTCCGTGGTTTTAACCATGGTTTTGACCATGGCTCATATGGCTTTCAAAATTAAACACCACCAAGTTATGTGAAACCTCGGTAAACCATCATCCCATCATCCCAGCATAAGCTCTTTTGGCAACATGCCATGGTAACAAGGATTTGATCAACTTACCAATCAACAACAAAAACAGCCATGAACTACCAAATTTAGGGTTTGTAAATTATGTCCTAACATGTCCAGTTTGAATTGCCTCGTATCCCTCTTAGTTGGTTTCATACCTGCGGGGTTATTTTAATTCACATCCGACCTCCACTCAATCTTTCCTCACATGATTGTCAGCCTTGACATGTGTACTCTGATAAGGGCATGGATGAGATTTCTTGGTCAGCATAAACCAGCTCTTAATCATCTACCACACTGCTGACAAGTTAGCCAAGTTAGCACGGAACCCAAACATGGCTATTACATGGCCATGATTAGCAGTGAACAAGTCATCTAAGTCATCTTTCGATTGGCTCCATTTCTATATTTCTTGGGTTTCCATCTGGGTTTTCGGGGTTCGGGTTTCGAAACCATCCCCACCCCGGTTTCGTCCTCTGGCACCTGAAACAAACTGTCAGGGTTACAGAGGTGAAACACCGACCAATCGCTGGCATATTTCACCTGTGCCGCTGCAAGTGTGGAGCATGGGGATGGGTGTGTGACAGATTTACCATGATTTATACCATTGAAGCAGAGTTTGGTTTCCGGGTACAGGGAAACGACAATGTCACGCCTAAGTCATGCCTAGCGTGTTTTTGAATGGCATTTACCATTGTTTGGTTTCCGGGTACAGGGAAACGACAATGTCACGCCTCAGTCATGCCTAGCGTGTTTTTGAATGGCATTTACCATTGTAAACGCTGTATCCAACAAGTCATGCCTAAGTCATGTAATGAGCATAACTTTATTAGGTGTTTTTGAATTTTCCCCATGGCTGTTGACGAAATTTCCCGATTTTCCCCAGTTGTCATTGGTTCAACTCCCAAGTTTTTTGTCAACATACTGCATGATACGTGGAAAACCACTTGGAGTAGTCTTATCCCCTTACCCTCTGGTAAACAAACATAGCTATTGAACATAGACATAGTAGATTTACCCATTAAAAATGCTGGTTTTCCATAGTTTTTTGTGTGTTTACCAGAGGGTAACCTGACAAACGCTTACCCCTCCATTGCAACTAGACATATTACGACATCACCATTGCAGGGATTTGGGGGCTAAGGGACCATCCACTGGATAAATCTGGACGACAGTTGTCCTCAAATTTGAGTGGACCCCACTACGAACCGCGGGATGTCGCTGATATATCTATCCCATTAGATATCCCATTAAAAATACCCATCAATAGCATGGTGATTTTCCATATACAGTAGTTTTTTGTATGTTTACCAGAGGGTAGATCCCTTTACCATGGATATCCCAACTAACTGCCCGAGTATCGAAGGTCGGCTCGTAGCGCATGCCGAGGACATTCGCTTCGCGAAGCACCTAAGCGAAAAGTGAAGCGCCATTGGCATTCGCCGCTTCGTGATGATGTTGGGAGGACTCTGTGTACAATACCCTCTGGTTATGACTAACATAGCGATGGTATAGATGGCCCATAGAAATAGATGGTTTACCGCCTATTAAAAATGGTGAATCTTTCCATGGCTATGTTAAATAACCAAATGGTATATACTATACTCCATATAGAATTTTAGATGTGGTATAAGTATATATTCAACAAATAATGCACATGTATGTACGTACTTGATCATATGCATATATATATCATATGCATATATATATATATACATACCTAGAAAACCCAACTATGGAAAGTGTTAGGCATACTTACGGCTTACCAACTGTATGTATAATATATAAGATACATATATAGGTAAATTAATATACATATGTAGAATAAGTACACATGCTAAACAGCTGAGAATATTAAATATATATATATATATATATATCACATATATAGTTTATGTATATATATATATACTTATCACATACACATACTGTATACGTTGAATCTGTAATTGACATGTGTATTTTGCTTAGCCATCTAATGGTAGATGTAGTGGGTATAGATGTAGGTAGTATATGACTCAAAATCCACTATCGGCATGTCAGGTGAACCTTTGGTTGACGTCACCCAGGAAAATAGGGTTTCATATAACCAACCATTAAGGCTGGGATTTAAACGGCAACAATCTTTCAGCAACCCCATGTTTACTCTACTGGTAATTGATTTAGATTGATGGAAAATGCATGGATGGATCTGTCAACCCCTCGTTTCTTTTTTGGCCGATTTCCCCTCTGTTGGTGAAATCCCCATATGGTTCGAGTTGCACAAAGGTTCTCCACACAGTAAAACAAGTTATCCATGGATTCCTCATATTCCTCATGTCAATTTTACCCTTGGGGAGAAAAAAAACATAGCCGCCTAAGCAAACCCAGGAATATCGGTTGATGGGGGCCTGAAAAGTATTGTTGTGTCAAAACAAGGAGATTACACTCCAAGGTTTTGATGTACATACATGTATAAATATGGTTCGCAACTGGGAGTAAGTCGGTACCCTCTAGCTCTTGCACATGGCAATGGAAAATCCACCATTGATGGATTATTTTCCGATTGACACCTGCATTCAAACCTGCATGTAAAGGAGATTGCCCAGCCAGTCATGTGTAAATACCAAAGAGTGATAGTTTTGGGTTTATGCTGATGAAACTGGAAATCTCCCAAATCAGGAAGTTGGAACATTTCCAAACCCACCGATATCTCAAGACTGGACAGTTCATTTCCCCCGTCAGAAAATGGTGAGACTCCGTTCTTTTAATGACCTACAAAGTCGCGCCCCCAACTTAGTTTGTTGGTTTATGGTTGTAGCTAGTTCGATATATCCCCAAACAAAACCGACGAGTAGTTGGCCCACCGCCTAGAACAGCCCGTGGGTTTTTAGCGCGTTCTTTCTTGCTTTTATATGCTTTTATGAAGATGAGGCTGCGTTAGTGGACGTCTCGGTGATGATAGCGCGCTGGCAGGGAGAGAGGGGGGGTGGGCGGGTGTGTTGACGTTCCGTGCATTTGCGTCTTGAAGATGATGCTACGCTACGGCTTGCAAGATATTCAATGCACTTGGAATATGAGAAATGTAATTGTAATGTCATACCATGGATCTAGTTGTTAGCCCAGTTATAAACTAATGATATAGGATATAGGGAACTATGGGGCACGACCTTCCATGCCGATGTTTTCCATTATGTTATGCTATGTTCATTCACGGGAACTCTCTCCCAAAGTCCCCAGACCGGTCTGAGAACTGGACGTCTGAGACTTCAGAAACCATCCATTCTCTCTCGCGATCTCGCGGGTCCTGCAACGCTGCTGACGCTGCTGGGTGTCTTACAGGTTGTTTACCTCCAACTTGACGAAATGGTCCTTTTTTGGGGAGAGTGATGCTGCTGAACCATCATTATCCATATTCGCACTCTTCAAATAGAACCAGCTGATGACAGGTGACAGTCATTTCTTTTTAATGGCAGGTTTTGCCGGGTACCGCCTGCTCCAGCTTCAGACCAGCAAGTTGTAGAGCCATATATTTGATATTCTTCAGGACATCTGTCTCCAGTTCTCATATTCGCCTGTGGAAAATAGTGGGGAATCCCTTATCAACGGATGTTTATAGCTGGAAAAATCATCTATAAATGGTGGGTTTTCAATTGCCATGTTCATCTCTCAAAAATAGTTCCTCTGGCACTTCTGATTTGGATCCACTAGTAGAAACAATAATGCCTGAGGAAGGACCATAGATGCAACAATGACTTCAGCAAGCACAAACTCTTCTTCTGATTCATTCAGAGCAGGGTTCCCAGTTGTTGGATTAATTTATAGAAACATATAAGCTAATAGAAACTATCTATCGGCTTTATCCCCCATCTTTCGCCCATAATATACTGTTCAGGCAGGGAAACAAACACCATATCAAACAACCATCATTTCTGGGTTACAGCAGTGGTTGCTCAGAATTACCCTCCAGTAATGAAACATGGCAATATGGACAATTCCCCATTTATAAATGTTATTTCCAAGCTGTAAACCTCCATTTACTTGGGGGGGTTTCTATTGCCACCTTTGATGAAACCGGAGGGTATTGCACCGGTCACCAGCAGGTCGGCACGGACGCGATGAGCGCAGTGCCTCAGAGTTGAAACGCTTCCAGAACTTGTCGAAGCGTTGTCGGAAGGAATTCCATTCCTGGGCCACGTCCGTGTCAGAGATGTAACATGTGTAAAAAAAAAACAGCAAACCGTCTCAAATAATATGCCAGGTTTATTGGTGGTATACAGTCCAAGGCTTATAGGCTTTACCAGGATGTTAAGATACTCCTTTTTGACGGGAGATGGAACATCAACCACAAATGATATGATTTTCCACTACTGGCTCCTGGACATGGAACATTGCCGCCTGGGCAGTTGAAGATGTGCGTTGGGAATCGTAGATATATAAGTAGATGTTCAAAGAATTTCAAATACAGTATCTAAGAAAACACGTGTCCCCAGCGAAGCAACCTCCTGTGTAAAGCAATATAATGTCACCATGTCACCACTCCTATTTTACAATCATATTTACTATTTATAGCTACTATCTGGTTATTTAACATAGCCATGGAAAGATTCACAATTTTTAATAGGTAAACCATCTATTTCTATGGGCCATCTATACCATGGCTGTGTTAGTCATAACCAGACGGTAAACCACTTTCACATACTTCAACATATTTTTCACGGAGCCCCAAGGCCCTCAACATCCATCGCTCAACCCAGCGGCTGGATTGTTGGAGCAATCGAAATACCAGGGCGTCTGTGGCATTTTCAGCACTTTAAAAGGGCAGGCAAAGTGACCAACATTTCAGCGTGATCCAGTTGATTTAATGTTGATGTATGAGCTGAAAATATTGCCATATTTAATGGGATTGACCAACTTATTTTGTCAGAAATAGTGGGAAGACATTTTTCAGATCGGTCATCAATTTTGTCAGAGGGAAATCCATGGAAACCCCTGGGAAACGAAGGGGCGGTAAATGATGGTACAATTCATGGGACAACTGAAACAACAATACTGGTTCATGAAACCAACTATTTCAAATCGGCATATAGATGATATAGCGAGATGTAACAGCAAATGCTACGCCTTCGTAATGATTGTCCCAGACTTGGTTATCAGATTATCACTCCATCTTACAGCAAATTGAATCGGAAGAATGATGATAAACCATCAAATTGGATCCAGAGAAAATCCAGCCCGGCTGGCCCCCATTTTTGCTGGCAAGAACAACATGGGGGAAACCCATGGTTTCTTGTAGATGGTCCGCTTAACCCAATCCATTGATACTGCCAAAGTCATCTTCCTCTTGGATGAGGTAGGTGCCTGGATACCAACCACCAGCTCAATGAAATACGACCTTGGTTTCATAGCAACACAGCCCGTAGACACAGAAGATGGTGACACTACTGTAGGACCCAAAACTTTCCTAAGTTCCGTTTGCTCAAAACTTTTCAATATAATTATTACAGTACTGCAAGCGTTCCATAATAAGCTCGTTGCGTATTTTGTCTAACTATCTATTGCAACAATTTGTGACTTTAGAGACCGCTGGAGTGTCAACAAAACGTTAGTTCACAGAGTCATAGTGTCTTGATGTTGGACCCGTGCCCAAAACTGATGATTATATCTATGTTGGAAGGACCTTCAATTGAATTGGTGAATATAGTCCAATTTCTATCAGGTGGGCCACTTTTTTAAATGTTAAGTATCCAGTTAGCTGGTGAGAGAAACGTCCCACACCAAATGCCAGTCTAATCCCAATTTCAAAATGATCTGTTTTCCTTGGAATCGTATAACTCAAACTGCGCAAAGGGGGATAAATGATGATAGATTACCTCCAAACGGTATATGGTCATCTCCCCATCTGCGTGGGATAAGTCTGAGTCTGTGGTCCGAAAATCAGGTACCCATGCATGGTACATTCTTGTCTATAATTGGTGGTATACCTACCCCCTGAAACATATGAAAGTCAGATTGGATCATCATCCCAACTATTGGGAGAAAAAGAAAATGTTCCAAACCACCAACCAGTTGTGGACAATCACTTACTGGTGCGTTTTACGTAGGGTTGCTGGATGGGTTGCTGGGGGTTGCTGGGATGATTACTAGTGATGGATCCCGAAGATTCCCTGCGTAAAACGCACCAATGAGATCATGCTCTCTATTGTCTTCAGACACCCCATGGTTCTGGGCCCTTTGTGGTCATCGACTGGGGAACTGGGGAACGGAACCCCCCCTTGTTTGGGTTTGTCTGAAAATAGGGGAATCCCAGGGATTAAACATCACTTTCATTCACTTTCCTCATCCAAATGGCAATTTCGAGGTCTCTTGCATTTTCTGACAGATCTATACAATCTATTCATTTCTGTTGGTGAAACCTCTGAATTCTAAAAAAGCTTCATACAAGTACATGTTATGGCCATTTAAAACCTATGAGTTGGCGGTTGCTGCGGGAATCCCCTTTCCCATCTTCCCTCCATTTGTGTTTGGTAAAGGTATATATTATGTATCATAACCATTATTAAGCATACTATACCTATAGCCCCGGTATCGTCTGGTAACATCACCATGAATTGGGAGGAGGAACGCATTATTTGTGGATTACTGATCCGTTTCTGATGGTTTACTCACAACTTCTGTAGGCTGACAGACTGACTCCCCATTTTGGATGGTTGGATGTTCTTGAGTCAACATCAGCTAGCAGCTGAATTGGTCCATTCAAACCATTCAAATTGTCACCATCTTTTTGTCGCCACCAGCGTTTGCCGTATTGTTTACTTCCTTAATTCTTACTCCCACATTTCCTTTTTCTGACTGTATCCCATGTTTCCACTGCTACCGTTTATGCTGGCGAACTTCGTTATAGCAACCCCCAAAGAATAGACAAGTCAAACCAACTATATAAATTGGTGGACATTTACTTTTCACATTGTTTCTATATTTGTTGATCTCAAGCTATGACTCTGAGTTTTTCTGTCGCCGAGGCACCAGCCGATCCATCCGCCTCTGCTGGGCGCCATGTGCCCACGCAAGATGCAGTGGCGAAGGTCGGGGAAGGTGACGAGGGGCTTGAAGTTTGAATGCAACATCTCTGATGCGTACCTCAATATACCCTCTGGTAAACATACAAACAACTATGGAAAATCACCAGAGGGTAATTGAATCATCATTAATTATACGTACATCTATAGATGTTGTACATCGACTCCATACAGAATCTTCTTGTCTCAGAATATCTAGATCCATGTCTTCAATTTGCACGACCCCGGCAGCACTTGGATCCAGAAAGGGGTGCTGTGTGGGAAACCTTCCGGAAAATGCCCAACTCGCGCTTAAATGACCAACTTTCTAGCCTTATATGATGCTATGTAATGCCAGATACGAATTGGATACTGGCTGAGATCAAGATCTGTGAATTGGATTGAATTGGGATGTCTAAAATTGTAGCCCGGACCCTGATAGTTCAAACAGCTGCGCCATGAGAAGTACCCCTGTTTCAACCTTGCAAGACGGAACTCCACCGGATTTTTTTGCATTTCACTAGGACTCCTGTGCAAAAAACACATATTATGACCCAAACTGGCCAATGGACACCAAGAAATTTCCCCGATGTTTTTCTTGGAACGCACATGTGAGTATGATGGCACGATCGGTGCATTTATTGGCGCAGTGCCCAGTGCCTATCTGTCGTTTGCAATTTCCTACTGGTTGGTTGACAGAGCTGCTGCTGGACCCACAACCCCAAACCTAGGATTTACCCTCTGGTTATTTAACATAGCCATGGAAAATGGCCCATTTATAGATGGTTTACCTATTAAAATTTGTGATTTTCCATTAACCATATTATAGTCGAGGAACGACGGTAAGCAGTAAAAATCTGCTTACTGACGGCGCTAAAACGCATTTTCCCCACTTTTCTGAAACATATCTATAAATATAAACACCTAGTAAGCAGAAAATGAAAATGTTGTACATTTGGTAAAACGAAGAATCTTCTTACTGCACCACATATTTTTTGTCTGTACAAAACATCCTTGAAATGATGAGAACCATGACGAAAAAAACATGATGACATGTGATGAAAACTATGAAAAACAATGACGAAATAATGAAAAACTATGAAAACATGATGACATGTGATGAAACTAAAAAAGGACAATGACAAAATAATAAACAACTATATATATATATGAAAACCATGATGAAATATGATGAAAATCTGTTCGAAACATTCACCAAATAATGAAAATGATGAAAACCGTGATGAACTGTGATGAAAAGGTTTTTTTCATTATTTTTCGCATGTATATGTACTGAACAAAACTGAGCCATGATGAAATAAAAACTAGAAAAAAACAAAATAATATGCAGAAATAGGTGCAGCAGTAAGAATCTGCTTACTGCCCCGTTATTGAAAGAAAATCAAAATCATAAAGATGATAACTAAAGGATCAATTGGATAGTGCAAAAATGAAGAAAACCCATGTAAAAATGAAGAAAATCAGCTCTTGAATCTAGGGGTTCGAAATATCAAAAAAAACACGTTTTTTTCCCTCTTTCTTTTGGAATTAGAATGGTCCGTATGGAGTCCTTGCAGGTTTTAAAGCTCATATTTGAATTATATTTGAGTCAATTTGAGGTTCAAAATTCGATTTTCGACACCAAAAAAATGCAAAAAAATAAACTTTCTAATGCATTTAAAGCTCTTCAAAATGAATCGCTGAATGTTTTAAACCAATTTTTGGAACAATCATGAACAATCTATGAATACAAATCTTACTTTTGCATCTTTTCAACACTTTTTGTAGCTACTTTCCTGGTATTCCCCGTCGTTCCCATTGTGTTTCCCCGTTGTGTCTCCCCGTTGTGTTTCCCCGTTTTTGGGTCGAAGTCATCGCGCGCGTTAGCGGAAAGGCTGGCTCGAGGACTTCGACCCAAAAACGGGGAAACACAACGGGGAGACACAACGGGGAAACACAATGGGAACGACGGGGAATACCAGGAAAGTAGCTACAAAAAGTGTTGAAAAGATGCAAAAGTAAGATTTGTATTCATAGATTGTTCATGATTGTTCCAAAAATTGGTTTAAAACATTCAGCGATTCATTTTGAAGAGCTTTAAATGCATTAGAAAGTTTATTTTTTTGCATTTTTTTGGTGTCGAAAATCGAATTTTGAACCTCAAATTGACTCAAATATAATTCAAATATGAGCTTTAAAACCTGCAAGGACTCCATACGGACCATTCTAATTCCAAAAGAAAGAGGGAAAAAAACGTGTTTTTTTTGATATTTCGAACCCCTAGATTCAAGAGCTGATTTTCTTCATTTTTACATGGGTTTTCTTCATTTTTGCACTATCCAATTGATCCTTTAGTTATCATCTGTTCCATGTGTTTTTCCATATTTTTGACCTTATCCATGATGAGTTTCTTGGATTTTCCAGGTGTTTTTGCAGGTTTTTGATCTTATCAATATATATATAATATATATAATATATATATATATAATATATATATGTAATAAATATATATATATATAAATAAACTTTATTATAAACACAAACAAAATAAGGTGCAGTAGTAAGCATCTGCTTACTGCATGTCATGTTGTTTGATCTTATCCATGATGAGGTTCTTGGATCTTCCACGTGTTTTTCCATGTTTTTGATCTTATCCATGATGAGTTTCTTGGATTTTCCAGGTGTTTTTGCAGGTTTTTGATGTTATCAATGATATATATATATATCATTTTTATTTTAATCACAAACAAAATAAGGTGCAGTAGTAAGCATTTGCTTACTGCATGTCATGTTGTTTGATCTTATCCATGATGAGGTTCTTGGGTCTTCCACGTGTTTTTCCATGTTTTTGATCTTATCCATGATGAGTTGCTTGGATTTTCCAGGTGTTTTTGCAGGTTTTTGATGTTATCAATGATATGTCTTGATCACAAACACAAACAAAATAAGGTGCAGTAGTAAGCATCTGCTTTTTGCATTGACATAATATGGAAAATGTAGAAAAATGAAGCAAACCTGAAAAAACAAAAAACTTTGAAGAACATCATGATTCATGTCATCATGATCGATAAGATTGAAAATCGTTGAGGGAACGCCTGAAAAAACAAAATGCACTCTTTATTGCGTGATCAAGACCCAGATTCGCAATCAAGTGTAACAAAAACACGCGCCAAATAAACCGGGGAAAAAAGCAGTCTTGTTCACCACAGGTGGTAAGCAGAAATCGGCATCATCAGGCATTCATCAGGTATTGAGATGTGGTAAGCAGAAGGGGTGGCTGAATTTCTTGGATTTCCACCATCTGCTTGGTTTCTTGGTTCGTACCATCTCTGCCTACCGGTGTTCCTTGACTATAAGCATGTTCTAAAGATATCACTTCGTGTACCTTAACCATTTTGACACATATTTTTACCAGCAGTAATTATTGGCACAGCCAGCTCACTTTAGCTTCGCCCGTGAAGCCGCCGGTTCTTGGCGCACTTGGCGCCAGGAAGGTCTTTTTTCCCCGCAGACATCCCATCCATTGAATAAAGATGAATAAGGTAGAGAGGCTTCCTGTGAATTTCCCAAAATTTCCCATTGAAGGTCATTGCGCCCCCTCCCCAATGGATTTCTATTTCCAGCTGATGGATTCAGAACAGCCGGGGTTGTCCGCAAAAGTGACAGTTTCGTGATTGATACCATCCCCAAAATCAAGATAGACCCTGAAAATCAGCATCTTTTCGAGGAAGGTAGTCTTCCAACACCCGGAAGGGTCTGTCTTAGTTGGTGGAGGGGCAATTCTTGGGGTTGAACGTGGCATTTGGTGGTAATGTATCCTGCGTTTCAAGACAACGCCGGTCCACTCACTCCCATTGTTTTTCAGTGCGAAAGATCAAACAACCGACAGCTGCATTTGCTTCAACCTCAGCAGCACAGAGCTGTGAGATTACATCCCATAGGATATGCATTGATATCCCATATTGTGAATATATCCATATTGTGGGTTATGATACTGTAATCCCCAATAATTTGGGCTCAAGTGGTTGTCAAGCATCGCAACTTCACCAGGCACCAATGGTTTCTTCGTTGTGGGGGACTAGTCATGGAAGCGATGAGTGTAGACTAGTTGTTTGCTATTGAAATCTATAATATTCTATATATATATATATATGTACTGTGTATATAAATATACTATACGTATTCACTCATTATATACATATATTTTTTACACATTTATATCAGATATTAAATCAATATCACTCATGCATATATCTTAATATATACCAATGTATAATTCTAAATCCCCATATTTCTAGAATTGGGAATATTCCATATATCACTCTGTCGATCTCTATTCCTCCAAATCTAGATGCACAATGATGCACATCCACCATCATTCGCTTCGTTGTCCTTTTTTCCACCCAGATCTTAAGACTTGCATGTGTCTGACGCAGCAGCGTTTCGAGGAGTCTCCTTCGGTGGCCGCCACAATTGGCGCGTCAAAATTCAAAGCTTTCGAAAGTCTACACAGCCACGCTGCCAAAGGGCTATTCACCTAATACTCAGCTGAAACGTCGACCCCGGAAGCCCAAGAAGGCCCTTAAAATTATCAAACTGGATTCAAAGTGGTATGTAAATCTATGCATATCAATAGATACAAGCACACACTGGTACAAATTGAACCCTGCCATGTAGTCAGCACAAAATGGCATCGGACATTGATTTCCACATGTCTACAAGACTGCTGGTTTTGGCTGGACTCAATCATCTTTCGCTGCCGCCAGCAGCAGAAGAACGCGGCACAAGGCGTGCCTCGAAAAAATGGGTCTTTGGAAGCTCCGGGTTCAGTGCTTGAAAAAAAATAGTGGGTTTGCCGCAAACTTTGCCGAGAAACTTGCCTGACGACCGCACCATGTATTAGAACCAGCCGACAAATCGGCGTGGTTCCCAACGCACGGTCGGTTTAAGTGGGACGTCCCATGACGTCTGGAAGAAACGTTTGACACAGCACGGACGTCCCATGACGTCCAGCACAAGAATCAACAGCACGTGCCTTTCCAAAAAAAACATGCCTCATTTCCATCAAGTCTTTGAACTTCATGTCGTCTGCAAGTCAGGATTTCTGAGAAAGGGCGGGTGGCAACCCGGAACAAATTCACAGATTATCGTGTGAGTTTCAAAAAACCTGGGCCGTTGCCACAGGTCCACTCGCACAATCTGTACTCAGTGGGCGAAGCAACTTGAGTCATCATTCTGAGGAGCTAAGATCTGTTGGTGATGCAGGTGTTTGCCATCAGGATTCAAGTGTCTACAGATATCCGATTCTGCCAGGCTGAACACTGTTTTTTTTTGCCCCTTCTTCGACCATCAAAAAAAAGTCTGTCTGTGTTTTCCAAGCCAACATCAAAGTGAAACAGCCCACACTGAAAACGAAACGCTCCTGCAGTGTCTGAACATTTCCAGCGATATTTTTGGAATGTGACCAATATTGTGGTCCTGGACATAACACACGCCACGTTGTTTCCGTGACGTCCTGGACGGGCTGGGTCTGAAGGCCTTAAGGGCTTAATGAAGTGGAACTCAGTGCCGATGGGCTCCTGGGCTTCTGCCATGGAAGGTAGAACGAAAACCAAAAAAAAATGGAAGAAATCACCAGTCGATATGAGCGATATGTCAAATTTAGGCCATGATTATGATTGCTATGCAATTCAGAAAATTCCATCCAATATTTGATATGTTTTATCCATTATTATCCGTTGTTATCCATTACTATCCATTACTATCCATGATTATCCATGATTATCCATTAGTTTATAGGCCATTATTGGGTTTCAACATAATGAAAAACCTTCCAAGGTGCCGCGGGAGTTCTAAATTTTCCACCATGTTTCCGTGGCTGTTGTCATCGATGTAAACCCCAGGATCGATGGATTGGTGGGAAAATTTTAACCGGAAAGCCCCACATTTAATGGGAAACTCTGAATGGTTTCCGGTTAAGATTTTCCCCAACAAACCAATCCATTGACAAGAAAAAGTCACTTCATGTCAGTTGTGCTTAAAATGCTGCCCTCTGGTAAATAAATGGTAAATATAGCAAATAATAAGAAAAAAACAAATAGACTAGTTATTATTCAATCCTATACTAAATTAAAGTCAAGATCATGTTCGATCGTTTTTCACGGTTACCACACTTAGCTGCCTAATCATGAATCCTAATTTCCACAATCATGCAACTAACTAATAATCTGCCATGTCTTTGCCACAGTCCGATTGCAACACATTATAATTCATATTGTATTATATAATATTATAGATAAATTCGTTTAATGACATGTATATGCAGTATAGGCTGTGCGTCGCTGATTTGCTGGACAATGTTTCACCAATCATCTGATCTATCCGAATCGATCCTCTTCTATGATTCATGCTGTTCAAAGAGTTGAAACATGTGCTGAACCCCTCTCCTGGCCATCGCGCCGACATGCCAAGGGTCATTGGCATGTAGTGTTCTTCAATCATATTCTCAATGGTCGAGAAATCCGCCAAATAACGCTGAAACTCCTGGAGTGCTGCAAGCCCAGAGTCCCAGAGTCCAAGCCGCTGAATGATTAGATCGAAGTGGTTTCTACTATACTTTCATATACTTTCTATATCTTTCTATCATTTGAAATTGCTTTGTCTGAAAGAAAAATTACGGGTCCCCTAGCTCACCGCAGGCCTCAAAAGTCACTTGCTCCCCATGGACATACATGTCGTCTTTACCTGCGGGTGAGCGTTCGGGTGAGGCAAAGCTATGGTGAAGTTCATCAAATATGAAGGAAACGGCCCCAGGCATTTCACCCACACAGATTGGGATTTATTTCATTGATGTAGAAGAGAATGATACTATAGGATACTATAGGATACTATAGGGGAAATGCGAAATAAACACTAGGCGAACTGTCGGATTTATAATGGATATTAGTCGAATTAGTTAGACCAACAAACATCACTGGCGGACCCTTCCCGTATGTTGTACAAAGGGACTCAGGGACTAGTCACTTGGGGGATCATTATCGCAGGTGGCAATGACATGTTGGGTGTCCTCTAGTGTCCTTCTGGTCATGACAACGCCTATCAACCAATGAATGTCATGAATCATCGGATTAGTTGACATGATTATCATGATTATCATGGTTATCATGGTTATCATGGTTATCATGGATACCAATGTCAAATCCACAATCCTATTGATCATGATTATCATGTTTCATCGTCGAAAAATAAGTGAGCTCGAATCTAACAAACAAACAAAAAAAACACGCCCCAATAGGCTCCATGTCTACCCACATCCTACCAGCGTTGGGGCAGGAACTTCTTTGAAGGGACTCCTCTACAGTGGGGTGGGTTCTCCACCGTGGATTGGGACATTTGTCCATCGACAGTTCAGATAGTTTGATGAATATGAACAGGTCCGATAAATTGACAGTGGCTCACCATACTTAGCATCTATAGATTGCATACTTGTCCACTTTTAAAGCGTACTTTCCTCATTAAATCTAATGCGATGCTAATGATTGTGGACAATGACCTATTGAATACTGTTAACAAAGAACTCACACCCGAAAAAAACTCTCTTTGGGTCTGTCTGAAAGTGGGGGATCCAAAAATTGCTAATGATGAGAACATATCATAACCAGTGGATGGAATGGAGTACCTATTTTTTTCTCTAATTACTATTGCTATGCTCATTATGCTCATATTTTCAGATAAAGCCCTTCTCTGGCTCTTTGTCTTCAGGAAGACTCATCTCCGAACTGCCCTTGCCGAGTGGCAAACTGCAAACAGCCTGGGGGCTAAGGCTGAGATCATTCCAAGAGATTCCAATTTGTTCATCAATACAAAAATATCCTCCAGATTCCTCCCGTATTTTAAGATATCTTAACTATTCTTAACTGGAAACGATTCAATCGCCATTTGATCATTTGGCACATTTGGCACTTTTCCGTGTGCATCCCAAGGCACCGGGACATTTCATATGGCCATAATATGGAGGGTAAGACTAATGGCCATTACCATTATCAATTGGATCTATTACCATATTGTTGCCATGTTTGATATCGAAAGACAATAGATCTATATAATAATATCTGTTTGATATGACCATATCAATGCAGGACTTTCCATTACCGGTAATCAAACATGGCAATGGAAAAACACATCATCCATTGATAGATGATTTTCCTATTAACACCATTTAACACCTTACTGTTTCAGTAATGTTCCACTGCCACGTTTTATTACCAATGGCATATATCAATACTAGGATTACTAGGGACATGTTAATAAGCCGACTAAAAAGTCACAAAAACCATCCTGGAAGTGGAAAACAATGAAACACGACACAAACAAATGTTTTTTTTTTTTTTTTTTCTGATCTATATGATATTTTTTCTTAAATCGATTGGTTGATTGTAGAAATATATATATATATATCATGGTCAAACTTGCCATTATTTGACGGCAAATCCGTGTATTTTCCCGTTTGAGACAACGCAACTAATAATATTGTTGTTTACAGCCTATTCACCATTAAATATCATTAGTTGCGTTACATAATACATATCACTAATTGTTGGTTATAGCCATTGAATAATACGCAACTATGTATATATATATATATGTATCATATTACATTCCCATTCACCACATGATAGCCCCAGTTGAAATCCCATTGAAATCCCATTGAGTTGATGCAACAAAAATCACCATCGAGGGACTCGTCAGAGACATTACGATGCCCGCATTGGCGCTCGAGCAAATCTTCCAAAAGATAGCGGAACTCCTGGCCCCATCTCACGCATGTGAAATATATATGGCATGTTTATACTGTAATGATTTATACATGATATATACTGTATATATATATAATATATATGTATATATATATATATGCTAGTGTTTATACGCATATGACAATGGGCAGCGGTTTTTGACAAGGCCACATATTCAGTTTTGCACCGCCTGCATTGGTTGACGGCAGCTAAACACAGACGTTGTTGCAATGTCTCATCACAGTCCAGCGTGGAACGACACCAAAATGCGTGGAGGTGCCCCTTCATAATGATTCAAAAAGAACAAAATATTAAAATATTATAAACTAGAAGACACACCATTACATTCTCATTTTTGGGGGGACATATTTGTTTGATCTTGTTCGGGGTTGCAAATTATCAAGTAAAGGCAGCCCTGCACTGCCAGGGACCCGAAAGAAAATAACTCACAGGCTGTCCGCGACCCATTAGCTCCTCCATATCTAAGCAGCCATTGTCATCCTGATCATAACCTCATATCCGCTCAAAAGTTTGGTCAAAATATGGGGATGGGTCAAAAGCCTGAACCCCTGACCACCCAAATCATTGTCAGATGTTCATCCCTCAAATGAACAATATTTCGAGGTATTGAACCATAACCATATTGGAAAAATGACAGGAACGGGCCCCACAAAAAAAACACAAAAAAACAGAGACCACAGCTCCACCCTGAAAATCCCCAACTCTTGGCGGGATCTATGTTAGTTGGGGGATGCTACATGATGCTACTGTGAGAACAGCAATGAAACAACATCAACTTGGCTAAACCCATTAAGACCACTTGGGTAAACTACAAGGTACCAATATGGTGCATCCCAGCTAGCAGGTGGTTGTGCTATAGACTGGGAGCAGCTCATGGTTATTATTCACGGCGACCAACGGCATACACATCCAAGTAGAGATTTGTAGCAAATAAACTGTGAATAGTCAATCAGAACCAACAATGACAATGGAGAATGTTGTTTTCAATTACATTCAACACATACAAATTTATATAATTAATCATGTGGGACACAAATTGTGATGATGATGGTGAAAATATATGTACAATATATAATCATATAATATGTATGTACAGCCCTGTGTACATATATACATACAGTACATGCATTCACCCATTGGATGTCCATCACATGTTTCCAGGCCTTCCAAGCACCTCCGAAAAAAAGGCGCTGTAGGGATGAGTAGGGATTCTTGTCAAATAGCTAACTTCCAGTTATCATTTCTTGGTTATATAAGGTGATATAATATCTGCGATTTTCAATGGTCCAATCACCATTTGTGTTAATTGATATTCCGATAGGTCCAAGAACTTTGATGGATTTTCAAACCGGAAGTACTATCCAATATGTGGGAGCGGCATGGGTTACATCTAAATATAGCTGTCTCTTCAATGCTACGGCTCGACGATAGGGAACCTTTGTGATACACAAAAGACTCATCTTGTTTAGCGTCGAACAATTCATTTCGGGGCTTACTATTTTTGAACCATACAAGTTACATCCCACATTGTATCCATATATCCATGTTGTGGTTACCATCTGGTTATTTAACATGATAGCCATGGAAAATCACCATTTTTAATAGGTGAACCATCTATGAATGGGCCATTTCCCATGGCTATGTTAAACAACCAGAGGGTAGATGTTAGTCTAATGCCCTTCAGTTTTCCCTCCCAGAAGTTTCGATTTTTGAACCGCAACAGAAATGCATCATCCCTAAACGCTTCAAGCAACGACGCCAGAGATCTTTGAAGTCCTATGGCAGACGTTGAGAGATGTCCACAGGACGCGTTTCCGCACCGGAAATTGGGGGGATTGTGCACGAAACCCACTGGTCCCAATGGATTTTAACAACGATAAGTGGAACTTGGTGAATGGAGACTGAAATGACATGGAAATTTGAATCAAACAATATCAAACAATAATGGGAACCCAAATAATGAAATTAAGATTCTTCACGTGAGTTTGGACTTTGCACTTTCATAAGCAGAAATTTAACTGACTGAACATATTTGATTTGAACAGCATTGAACAATAATAAAACTTTACTTGACATTTTCTATAACCAAAAATAACATGATTGAACATGCTTGAACACACTTAAGACCAGAGATCCAGATTTCCAGTTTTCCACTGGTCCAACGCGTAACTGACATCGCGCCATGTCGTCGCGCCTGGTCTGACAAGCATTTGAGCTTGTACTGTCCCAGAAATTGTTCGGCACCTGGGCTGAAGCTGAAAGCACAAGCTTTAAGTCATAGTAAAGGAATACGTAAAGTGTGGTGTACTTTTTTTTTTGCCAACAATATTGAACGTGGGATGGTTTAGAATCAGGCGTAGAATCAGGTTTAGAATTTTGATAATCATGATGAATCAGGTTCCAGAACAATACCCAACTCCTCAACGTTAGAACGTGGGAGGGGCAGAAAGCATGACCTCGCTGCAAGAAATCAAAGGATCAAGGAAATAAGATCAAATAATCCGTGTAGAAGAAGTAATCAATTTGCACAGATCCAAGACGGTACAAGGCCAACAAGAAAACAATAGCATATATGGGAAGTTTCCAAGGTTTTCCGCTTCTTGCCACAGGTTCATGCTGAGATGAAATCTACATAGCTCGACTTTAGAGAAGGATCTTTAAATTGGGCTAGCGTGGGGTACCCCAGAAACATTAATTGTTTCGCTCTTTGAAACACAAGCAACATGTTGGATGATTTTGAGGCCCCGTTTCAGAAAACCTCCATGTGGGATGACGTAAATGGCGACTTGCAGAACGTGCTTCTGTGTCCGCAGTGATTTCATCCTCGCGAGCTTTCCCCGCCAGAAGTGCTTTGAGTATGTTTCTTAATTAATGGGAAACTCTGATGTTCCATATATATATGACTATATATATATATATGATTATATATATGATTATATATATATGATTATATATATATATATGATGTTCCTTGTTGTTTTGAAAATAAGAACAGTTTATAGATATTTCATCTTAGCACCAACCCAACGGCCGAAAGCTGCAGCCATCATGAAATCGCCGAGGCTCTAAGGGACCTAAAGGCATTGCTGAGGTAGGTTGCCGACTGCATTTCCTCGGTCGAGGGTGATCTGAATCAGTTGTTGAATCAGTTTGCGGGTGAACATCGGAGCTGATCAGATCAAAGAAATTTCTCATGAGCTAAGGTTGCAATTAATAATAATTAATAAGTCACTCTAGGATGAGGTTTTTCTAAATCATCATGACAAAACTTGTTGTCATCCCATGAGGGGAATGGCCTGTTATTAAATGGTTTAATGGTGTTTAATGGCCAAGTATAACCATCATGGTTTCACACATATTTGATTGACTGCACATGGCCAAGTATAGAAATGGATTGATTATAAAATCTTATAGCAATTCATCATCAATCCAAATGGATTGATGATGACCATCCCCCAAAGTGCGAACATGACCAATGCCTCAAATGACCAGCCAGCACACGTGCACACGTGGCACGACGTGGCAGAAATGAATCACGCCGAAGCATCCATCAGCCGACTGACTGTGCGATCCCATGCGAAAATCTCATCTGCCACGGAGGTCTTTCGCTCTTCTTCCGAGACGTGAAACCTGTGGGCCACGGCGGTCACCATGGTCACCATGGTCGATGCGTGGGAGTCGTAGCCTATGACCGGCCTATGGAAAAGTCACCGATGATTCGACACGCAGGGGAAAACATAGGAAAGCAAAACACAATAAACACACATATATAATATCTATTTGTATAATATATACAATTACTTAAAATCATATAGAAGGAAAACCTGTGTTCATCTTTTTGCAGAGCCCTCTGCACATTTGGATGAATGATTTGTTCCGCGTCGTTTCTCCTCAAAGCAATCCGCTATTGAACGCTATTGGGACGAGTCAACCTATAGCCCCAGAGAAAGAAGAACACATTGACAAACAAATATGGGGATGGGTCAAAACCCTGGTACATAGGGAACCCCAAAATAGCTGGTAAATGGATGTTCATCCCACTAAAAATGTATCTATAGGTATTGACCCATACCCATATTTGAAACAGTAGAGAACACCAACACTGAAACTATGTTCTTTATATTTCTTTTTACCAGTACCATGCATGCTCATGGCAAGGATCAATGGACGTTTTGTCCATATGACAAATCCCGAATCCCGATCATCCACAGCATCATCCCCCACTTACCCCCAGCATCAGTTCCAGTATACACTCATAAGCACCTACTATTGATACATGAAGCTCCAATTGTTTGTTTTCATTTCGCGGATCTATGGAATCTATGGGGTATTTTTTTGGGCCCCATTCCATCATATTCCATCCCATGCAGCTTGAGCACAACGAGATGGGGTCCAGGGCCGCTGTGCAAACCACTTTGGCGTGGGATTCGTAGAGTGCATCGATCAACGTGATGAAGCGACGAACTTGATCGCGCTCCTGCGCTGGCTTGGCGGAAAAAAACAGACCCAAAGCTGGTTGGTTACCCTCTGGTAATTTAACATGGCTATTGAAAATGGCCATAGAAATAGTGATAGTGGATTGTCCCATTAAAAATGGTGATTTTCCATAGTTATGTTAGTTTACCAGAGGGTAAGTTTGTTTGTTCCCAGATCTTGGATTGTATTGCATATACAGCACATGTGTTTATACTCTGTATACAATATCATGATATAATATACATCAGTATACTGTATGAATCTGTATGATATAGAAATACAGGTGATCACCTTAGTAGTCTGCGAGTAAAAAATAGCAACTAAGCAATCGACATTGCTCAGAATGAAACTGAGGAGCTTCTAAGGAAATGATACCAATGAATGAACTGATTAAAGGAAACATCTACAGCAAACAATGTTCTTTACCCGAAATTTTGCCCTTATATAAATGAGGATGGTTCCTATCTTTATAAAATGTGTCCAGCATCCAATTCTTTGACAGATCCGTCCGTCGAACGGTCTAGAATCCTAGATGTTATTCGGGAGGAAAACATCACTACCAAACGTCATTGTTCTGCAAACTATGGAGCCAGCTAATGGCTTCAAAAAATACCAGACAACAAGCATGTCAAAAGTTGCTTCCCTTTCTATTTTCAGACCTTGAATTCTTGTGCATGTTCTTTGAAACTTTACTATTTTCACCAACAAATCCAATATGTCCAGCTCTTTTGTTGCATGTTTCCCCATGTTTTTCCTACCCGTGTGGGACTTCCCTAAAGATCCTGCATCGTGAGTCGCGGGATATCAGCAATGAATATCGTGTGGAAAGCTTGACCAATGGCCAAGTAATCCGCAGCTCCCAGCGGCTTGTCGCAAAGATCCTGCGGGGCGGCCCCTTGATTCTTGGGCGGTAAGTCCATTTGTACATTATACATAATCTAACTATGAATAATCTATATATATATATATTATTAAATGTCATATACACACTCTATATATAATATAACAAGTACTATATATATATATAATGTATATAATGTATAGTGTGTATAATGTATTTTTACTATATATATATATACTATATATATACAATATTTGATTATAATATGTAACATAACTTAACATATATATATATAATTACATATAAATAAAGTAAATAGATAGATAGATAGATAGATAGATATTATAGATAGATATTATAGATACCTGGGAAATCTTTTTTGGATCTGCCCGAATTTCATTTCAGCACACGAATTGCTGAAATCCGAATCTGCCAAAGTAGAGTTGTCATTGCTTGTCCTTTTTTAGTAAGTCTGGGAATGTCGGCCGAATCTGCTCTATAGGGCAATTCAGCGGAAATCTTGGCCCATAACGCGCAATTCTCCCGAAATCGTTCTCCAACATTGCAAAAAACAGCCGAAAGCGGTTTTTGAGAGCGAATTCTCAAAATTCCCCCAAACTATATCCTATTAAAGACAAACCAAATTCCATACATGAGCAATGTGGAGTTCTTAGGTGTGAAATGTATCCAGGATGCTCTTTTGGGATGAGGTTTCCTATATAGTAGCAGTATGGAGGCATCCCTTCCACAAGCGAACAGAAGATGGTCACACTACCAGCTATGATGACTATGGCTCTTACCTTTGCTTAGCCTTGGTAATGCATAATGCCCTATTCATACAGTTGTGCCCATTTATTCGTTATAACTGGTTATTATATTATATAAATGGGATTATACGTTCCAGAAATGGGGTGACTTAGTACTTATAACTGGTATTTCGGGCCATAACTGTAGATGAGTTATATAGGACCGTTTCCATTGTCATGTTGGACCGAAGGCTAATGACACGCGCACACGGGAAACTGAGTTAGAGAGCCTCCCGGTCTAGCCTCTTGTAGAATCACATACGGTACCCTCTGGTAAACTACGAGTAGCGTATTGAACATTGCCCATGTATAGTTGATTTACCTATAAAAAAGAGAGGGGCTTGTTGCCAGCGCTGGAAAGTAGGCTTTCCTCATGTTCTTGTATCCTTTGGGAAATGGTCATAATCAAATAGGATGTTTGGAAGGAGGAGAGGAAAAACACATATTCAGCTGCAATATGCACTCCTTTAGAACAATGGTAATCATTAGGGGTTCAAAATGTGGCAAATTCCAAGAAGAAATTCCACCCTAGAAGAGAAAACAGGATATATCTCCACTTTGAAGCATTAGGTGCAACAGAATATGTATGCAACATAAAATGCAAAATTACAGTGGATAAGTTCAGGTTCGGTACTTCTCATAAACCATAGCTATCTTATTTTTGTGTGGCAAAGGTCATGAAAAATGGACATATATTGTTTTGAAACCTAGGGATACACTACTAACATGGCTCCATAGGATTGTGGTACAATACCACATTCTTTTGGACACAATGCGTCGTCTTTGAAACACAACCTTAATTCATCTACAAGGCCTATTTCGGTTAGACAGTTAAGGAAACTCCATGGTGTTTTCAAACAGGTGTGGAAGTACATAACAATGTTGAATGAGTTTGATCTGCGCAGCGCAGCAGTTGACCAAAGAAAATGAAACACATTGAGCTAAAGGCAAAATTGCAAACAATATCAGGCAATGCAGTTTTTTTCACTTGCTTTTATTACCCAAAGAGAAATTATCGGTATATAGTCTGTTAAGTTGTATTCCTGTGCTACATTCCCGGCAAACAATGCTTTGAAGAAATGAGGTTCTTCAAAGAAGTGCAGTTTTCCTTACAAAGCATTCACTTCTACCAAAACAGTTGTTGTCATTTACACGCTAGTGGTTGCTTTTGAGCTATTCAAATGTTTTATTTTTTTAGGAAGAAATCTGTTTGTGAATCTGGATTCTGTTGCAACAAAATGTGTTATCTATGATGTGTATTGTGTTCTATAGTCCAGTATTCCTGTCTTCTTCCTTTATCATGGTAACATTCCTTCAGGCAGATGCTGTTTTCTTCAAATATTACATACTTAACTAAAAGTTGCAATCGTATTTATACGAAAACAGTTTAGTTTAAACAACAGAAGCAATATTGTGTCAAAATATGCAGTGTGTCCTTTAAAAATGTAACATTCCTCTCAAAGAAGCTTTGCTGGCCTTTGTGTCTGAAAGTAGCAAACAAATGCAACACTCCTTTCAGAGAAACCCCGCTGCCATCTGTTTGGAAGGAACACCATTTGTTTGAAGGAACTGTTTTACTCACAAAAAAAAATCAGCTGCCTTTTTTGTAAGTTACACCATGATTTGAGCATGTAACAATCCTTTCAATCACACCATTTCTTTGTAAATATGCAACACTCCTTTCAAAGAACTCCAGCTGCGCTCTACTGGGACAGGAACACCTTTTAGTTGAAGGAACAATTTCCTTCACCAAAAACACAATTTTACATCCCTAAAGGCCTCACACCTGAAAAGGAAAATTGCACATCCCCAAGGAATACTGCGCAAGTTTAGCATGCAATGTGTTTTAATAACGATTTGACAAGAATGCCTTGGGGGCAAGATGAATCAGATTTGGCTTGGATTAATCTGGATTGATCCCAAGGAATCAAAAACCCAAAGAAACCAAAAACACAAAGAAACAAAAAAAAAACTGTTTTCCAGACTAGTCTGAACATGCCTAGATCCAAGTAGTCCCCAAAACATCGTGCTTTTTTTAAAAAAAAAATTGGGCGTTTAACCACTCTAAGCTCTATTTCCACTAGAAAAGATTTGTGTATGGACAGCAAAAGGCCAATATTGTTTTAGACAATGTATATCTATCATGTATTTGGGGAAACAAATGCCTTTTGCGCGCCCACAACAAGCCTTTCTGTATTTCTAATGGAAAAGGCTTGTGTATGGACAACAAAAAACAATATTACCTTAGATCATGTAATATATTGACAAACAACAATGAATATATACAAACAACTGGTGATTTCAGCGGTGGCAACAAGCCTTTCTGATTAAACAAATGTGATTTTCCAAAGCTATGTCAGTTTACCAAAGAGGAATGAAGAGTTCATTTCATCTCGTCTGTCCATATGGTTTTCATATCAGATTTGTTTTCGCCTACGTTGACACATGCGAAAAGAAGCTAGAACTTCTTGTCGCATCAGTCCCGGCCCCATTCTGGTACACTTTTGAGAAAGTTGGGTGCCCTTGAATCCACTAGTTACACTAATCATTATTTTCCCAATATTATGATTGCCATTTGGAGGCAGGGGCCAGAAGTTCAGACAGATCGAATCATATTGTTGGTTCCATATTCCATAAATATCCCGTGGGGTATACCTCCCAAATGGCAATCCACAAAAAACAATGGGAAAACAACATACCAATCCTCTGGAATTAGAGGTGCCATATTTTCAGAGCCAAACCAACAGACCTGCGATTCCCCAGTCACCCGGTCGGCACCTTGAAGGTAAACCAGGCCACATCTGAATTCTCAGCACACCTCGGTACCACAATTCCTCAGCGCGCTCTTCGGATCACAGGGCAAAAAAAATTGCAGGGCAGATGTGAGGTGGATTCCTAAAATCTTCAGTACCTAAATATTACGGATATGTCATATTATAATATATATATGTATATAGATAGATAGATACATATCCGGATCATTTAATGAGTTAAAGGGATATCATGGGGGTTTCACGGGGATATCACGGGGATATCATGGGGATGTAATAGGTTTTATAGCCAACTTCACAACCAGAAGTACAAGCTCAGCCCCCAGTTTACGATATCTAAGTTGGTGAACAGTTCACATTCGGTGGATAACCTGTGGTTTCTGGTAGATATAACGAACTAATCAGTTAATGAGGGGGTTACCCTCTGGTAAACTAACATAGCTAAATGGTGGATCTTTCAATCGTTTTTTGTAAACGTTTACCAGGCCGGGTAAATCCACAAAAGTGGTCTGGGAAGTTGACCCACCATGGTCAGCCGACCAATGGCGATGCCTGTGATGACATGTGGCACTGCTATCATTATCCCCACTAAGATGGCCATTTGGAGGTCCCGATTCCAACTTGAGGTTGTCCGACCGTTGTTTCTTCCTTTTCTATATTCTGTAACTCTGTATTTGATGGTTACATCCCTTTGCTTTGAGAGTCACTGCTATAGCCAAATTAATTAACCAGTTTTCTCTTCTTTCTTCTTCTTCCCATCTTTGTTATGTTGGGTCTCACCCTGTCCTCCTCATGTGAAGGAATGTTCATCCACCCATCAAGAGCCTGGTCCCATTGCTGTTCGCCTCCCAAACATGAACAAATCAGTTTCTATTTGGACGTGAATCAGAACCCACAATCGGGTTGTTAGCTTATTGACCCACATATTCATTCCATTGGAAGTTTGGGGAATGTCTGTTACTTCGACCTGATTTGGCTCTTGGTGCAGTGGCAAAATCCATCCAGCCCCTCCTGGGGTCATCGAATCTGTCTCTGTGAAATTGGAAGATATCGTAGCACAAAATTCACTGGTTGATCATGATTTTCCCCCAAGAGGCCCACAAACTATAATTTTCTTGGTTGATTCCCAGATTTTCTGGGTGAAATCCCATTGCTTGTTGGTCAAACAGTCAAAACACCTATTTTCGAGTCATATAACATATAGCACCCCCCCCCAAAAAAAAACAACATTAGGAAACCTGGAAATCCTAGGGAAAACATCACCCATGCAATTCTAGAAACATTTCGTTCATTTCTTTGGGTGAGTTTCTACCCTCTGGTGATCAAACATGGCAATTTAGAAAATCCACCATGTAACGTATAGATTTTCCAGCACTCCATTTCTTCCGGGGATGGTCCAGCTAGCCATCTTTGACACTGGAGGGTATATAGATATACCATCTGGTTATGACTAACATAGCCATGGAAAATGGCCCATAGAAATAGATGTTGTTTGATGATTTACCATGATTTGCCTATTAAAAAAGGCAAATTTCCATGGCTATGTTAAATAACCAGAGGGTATATCCATTAAAACATCATTTATCTGGCTATCATAATAACCAGGGGTGATTAATTTTATTTAATTTTTCCCACGGTGATTTAATGCCTAAGGAACCACTAATATATGTTTATGTAAATATTCCCAGTATATGTCCCACATAGTATTAGTGTCCCACTGGTTTCTCGTGGTTCCGTATATCCCATGAAATCACCATCTGAAAACACATATTAACCATCATTAACCATATAATAACAATTAATATTAACCATTATTAACAGTATATTTTAATATGTGGTTAACCATCTGAAAATGGATCCTGCTGAGTGGCTTCGACCTTGTGTCTCCACTTGCACGCCGAAGCGCACGTGGCCCTGGCAAATCCTCAGCCAGCCAGGAGATGGGAGCTCCCAATTTTCAGCAGGAAAACCCATGGAAAAACCCATGGAAACCCATGGAAAAAACCATGGAAAAATGGACAAACAAATGGAAAAACCCCATGGAATGTGTTTCCATGTTTCCTCAAATGTTGAGTTACACATTGACAAAGGTATATAACTCAATGGCAGAAACACTCATGGAAACATGTTCTTTTTTGGGGGAACAAATATGGAATCTATGGCCGAAACTTGATGAAACATGGCAATGGGTGCCATCTCCAAACAGTAGCTTTCTTGAAACCTGCTAAATATACAACTGGTTGGTGGTTTTAACCCTCTTGAAAAATATTAGTCAATGGGAAGGATTATCCCATATATTATGGAAAATAACAAATGTTCCAAACCACCAACCAGACAATGTAACTTTGCATATCAACACTGGGGAGCCAAGAATTTAAGATGACAGAAATGTTGGCTTTAGTATTCTAAATGACAGAGGCGGAAATCCAAACAACATGAAAGCAATGACAGTTTTCACCCAAAAAACATATCAAAACAAACCATTGTTGATTTACAGGTGATTCTGCCTAAATCCTGAAACCAAACACAATGCCATTTGATTTGGTCGTTTGAGGTTGCAGGTGCAAAAACAAAGCAACCAGAAAGACTCAGTACATAAGCTTACACAAGCAACCAAGCAAATCGGAAAACTGTCTACAAGATTGAACAATCAAACATAGTGTTGCCCCCGGATTAATACGCCCCCAATTTATTAGCAGGAAGGTACCAATTTGAAGAGTAATTCATCACTATGAATTGGGAGAGTACCCCCCTCCCAATTCATAGTCAGGATGTGGTAAACCCAATAATCAACGGTCGCCAATATCACCAGAAATGGGTTGTGTAAATCCCCACAAAAATGGTAGTTCAAACTATATCATATATAATATATCATATATCTATATGGGGGTTTCCATAAATGGGTGTACCCCAAAATGGTTGGTTCATAAGTAAAAACCCATCTACAAATGGATGATTTAGGGGTACCCCCATGACTTAGGAAGCTTCCATAATAGACGTGGAATCGGTGGCGCCATGTTTGTTGGTGGTTGATAAACCCCAAAACATCTAGACATTTTCCGAAAATAAAAAATACACATAAAATTCTATGAAACTATATAGTGATAACTACTTTTCGATCTGTGCGGGGGTTGCTGTTTTTCATATACATGTCCCTCCTAAACCCATTTGTTAGACAAGTTACCTGCAAACATGCAAAAACTATAGTTTTAATCCCCATGAAGAGGCTGAGAATCATTGACTAAGAAATCAGAATTCCAGTCTTCACCATGATATATTCCAAGCTATTGACGTCACCATTTCGAGACAATCCCGACAGCAACAAGCAAACATGTGCGTGTCTGAGTTTATCAATAACATTCAAAACAAAACGCGTGTGTGTATGGACATGGGTCAAACTTGGGTACCTCCAGTAATTAGATGGTCAATTATGTAAAAAATAGACTAACATATGTTGTCCCGTGGGTCTTAAGCTTTGACTCATCCACATGTGTATAGAAAAACAAAACATAATGTGCATGTACATATCATTTTGTATAAACACCAGTAATCACTTTCTGGAACATGTTCCACACAGTGTTTCTTTTCCAGTCATGTAATGTTTGTTGGTTTATTAAACAACAACATATTGTCTGTTTGTCAAGCCTGCTCTTAGTCAATTAGAATTGTTTCTTCAAGAGAAAATAAATGCATAGTTGATCGTCTGTTGTAGCTATTAGCAGAGTTTTCACTGCCTTTTTCAGGTTTGGGGAAAAGACCCAAAGTTGAAACTTTTCTCATGTGGGTTGAATGACTCGTCCCTACTTAATGAAAACGTTGCAGAGAAGTCGAGGTACTAGGAGACTAGGAGATACGTAATATTCTTAAGACATAGTTTGGAAGGGGTAAGAACTAAGATGCCCGAGGACCTCCTAAGACCCACACATCCAAAGTATTGAGCCAACGCAGTAGAGCACGAGACAGAAGCTACCTAGTAAGGAAAAAGAGGCCAAATACATATCTACCATATTGATCATCAAATAAACATATTTCTGCAAGATCTGAAAGTGTACAAAATCTAAAATTTCATGTGTCACAAAAAGGAGCAAACACATTGTAATAACCCATGTAAAGCTTAAAATTAACGTTTGGCCACAGCGCCGTGCACATTCCATCAATGATTGAATTGAAACTCCTTGTTGGGAGCAAAATACGGTAGTCGAAACCGCTGCAAATACCATCAAAATATGTCATTGTATCTACACATAAAGCGTCATAACTCATCACACTCAAGCATCCAAAGTCTTCAAATGAATGAAACAAATGCTGGTTTCAGTGGGTGGTTAACATATATCATATAATGTTGGTCAAACCATCTATATCTATACGGTTAATATATATATATGGTGAATAAACCACCCATTTGGGAATGGTGCATAGCACCTCGTTGTGATGACTGGATGGTTTTCCAACGACATCACCGCGGGGCTTCGCGAACTTTGTCTCCAAGAGCTTCGTCTCGTCCGAGCCGTTGGGTGTGATGTAGACCTGGTACCGCTTATATCCAGTGGAAAAAGAGACGCTTCTTTATGTTGGAAATTCATGGAACATATATGAACATATGAGAAACATAAAAACTGTGGAAACTATTGGATTGAAAACTATTGGAAACTACGGAAACTATTGGTGGTGCCAACCTTTTTGGCCAAACATATGTGTGCTTTTATCGATGGAAAATATGAAGCAATGAAACATATTGATAAACTTGTGAATGCTCGGGGCTTACTTCGTTTTTCATGGAATTTAATCTTATGGGAAAACAATACTAGGAATTACAACTATATACTATAATCTCCATGTGTCAAAAAAAAACGAAACGAGGCCAGGCAATTTATTCATACAGGGTGGTGCCCCAGTTTGTCAGAGAACTTGGCTTCGAATTGACTAACTCGGCTAACTAACGGATGGGTAGGAAGGGTTTATGGGACATATATATATATAGTTATTATATATATTATGTATAATTATATTATATATGATACATCACAGGTAGGCTGGGTGATAAACCACCAACAAACATAACTGGTGGGGCACAGCCCAAAGAGAGTCCAAAGAAGAACATCACAACTTCAGCGAGTGTGGGAAAAAAACCCTTTGACACAACCATGATGTGAACAACAATACAAAACTGCACTATGCATACATGTATCTATATTCTGTATATCCACGATTTACTTTGTATATAATCTATATGCCCGGTTCATGGCCCGTTCTTTATTGCAAAGTATAACACAGCTTGGACATTCACAGATTGAAGCATTGTGGGAGGCTTCAAGGCGCAAACTCTGATGATTGAGTGCTGTCTAGAAACACGGTCATCCTCCTCGTCTCTCGTCGAGCACATTCGATAATCCACTTCCTCAATGTCATCGAATGCAAATTTCTTGTAGAAAGTCTATGAAAGTCTGCACATGAGCTAAACCATATGTTTGTTTTTTTCATACGGTTGCAAAATAATGCAAAAGAAAGGCTTTGAACACATATTAGAGTATTTCGTTTCTGCAGACTTGTGTTTGTTTCTACTGCTCAACCATCTCATTCTCTGGTTTGAATATGTTCCATCTACTAAGTGGTTGAGTTGGTTGCCCCAATTGTCACATGGGGTTTTTGTTTCTACCCCCTCATTTTCAGATCATCATTTTTGCAGCATTTTGAGGGAACCCAAAATGATTGAAGCCCCACTCACATCAGCTTTCCACGCATGGAAAGTCCATGGAAAACTTGCGGCATTTGGGGACCCATTGCTTCCAGAAAACTGTTTGGGGAAATGCATGGAAATGCTATCTGGTGATGTCGATGTCTCAAACATGTACGGGCCAAACCCTGATTCCCTGACGAACCAACAACGTGGAATAATGGCTACTCACCTATCTGTTTGGAATGACAGGACGTCGTTTTGGGAAGACAACCTCTTCCCAACAACGCTAAAGGCCGTGAGGAATCCAGGCCCAAGCTAGGGGTTCGCTCATTTAATCCAATGATTCGTGGTTGATTTTCCCCACATCAAAGCCATTCGAGTCATTCTTACGCTGCACTTTTAAGGGGACTCACCATTTCCGGA